AAATCCTGAGGACAGTGTTTCCAATGTGTGCTCAGTCTGTAAAGTCAAAAAGATGGTCTCGGGTGGTCCCGTGTGTCTTTCACTGCATCGGTACTGTATCGGTACACGTTGGAGCGGCGGCCGAAAAGGGAAACATCAGCTTAGTGCGCAGGCGGAGAAGCTAAGAGGAGAAAAGGAACAACTTGAACTTGAGCCGAAGTCAGCTGCTGCAAATGCAAAGCTTCGTCTGTTGGAAATAAATTCACACTGTGGCTCAAAATGCTCTGATAGCATGAACTCATGCCATGAAAAGGGCAACTCCAAGTCAGCGCCACGACTCCGTCCATCTATGTATTTATTCCAGACGTTAAAGTGTCATCTGCTATTGAGCAACCACGTATCCACCTAAAAGAAAAGCCAGCTATCCAAAGCCCTGGCAAGCCACAAAAGTGCCTTTGCTCAAATATCTGTTAATCAAAGTCCGAACACAAGTACGCAACTGACAAATGGATCATCATGTCAGTATTTTTTTTTACATCAAGCAGAGGCAGAATGACATCACTGCCATGTTGGTTCAGCTCAAACAGAGCTCTGTCTTGCCACCGAGAAACGTTCCTGTTTTTTAACGGACATCCTCTTCAATGTAAATAAGTTATTAGAGCTTTTGAGAATGGTGTGAGGGCCAGTAGAACCACCTGAGTGACTTTTTGCATTTTCTAGAACAAGACACCAGAGGGCAGCCTAGAGATTCTGCAGTTGCCATAATTTCCCATCAGAACTGGATTATATTGCAGCAAAAAAGTCTTATATAGGAATATTCAGGAAATTAATACAAAATGGCACAGGATGGATCAAATTAAAAACTGTCCGGCTATCAAAAGTCAGGCTATTAAATCACTGAAAGGATTTTCCCTGTTTCTAAAGGGATGTTCAAATTTGACGCAGTGCATGAAAGAACTGGACTTGCCCTCAAATATGCAGAGCATAAACTTACTGTTTAAGATTAATCTTGAAGCTGCCTATAAAATGAGTGAGAGATGGAGAAATGTAGCCTCTGACCTGCAGGAAATGAGTGGTCAGAGAGCATCTTTTTTACTGATCTTGATGCTTTCATTGAAAAATAAGTTAAAGTTGCATCCGATCCATTTTTTGGAAATATCATGGCAGTTCAATACTAAAAACCCTGACAGGGGTTTTGCAAAACAGAACAAAGGGGTTGCAGTTTTGCCTCAAATGTCATTGCAGTGAACAATAAATGTACACCTAAACATAAGTCCTCCAAATGCCATTTCTGTTTATACTGTCTCTTAAGGAATCCCACAAAAGCTGATGCCAGTTTCAAAACACAATGTTCACACAACAGGACGACGTTAACAAGCGGCCATACCTGCATAGTCTGAGTTTGTGTGGCGTTTGTGAGTGGGCCTCACTGTGGTTGTGTCTGTGTAAGGCTAAGTAGAAATAGTTAGCTAGCTAGTCTTTGTGTGTGTACGTGTGTCTGTATGTAAAATTAAGTAGAAAGTTGGGGAGCGGCAGAAAGTGAGCTAGAATAGTTAGCCTATATGTATTTGCATGTAGACATGGGTTGCAAATTCATATAATTGTAAATGCTTCTATCAATAGTAGACACCTTCAACACTGTGTGCACCAAAAAGACTATGTCCTATCTTTGTTAACATACTTTAACTAGGCTTTAAGTTTGGAGCTTTCTTGCTGCCATCCCCTTCTTTTGCAAAAACAGGAAGTAAAGAGCTCTGGTCATGTAACATTTTACAGTTAACATGCAACACTGAGACCTTTAATATTTTACTATCTGCTGGAACATTGTTGATTATTTAGTAACATTTTTATTGCCTTTGAAATTAAATTATTATTTTTTCAGCACTCAAGTTGCGATGTGCCTGTTATTGTTTGCCGATTGTGTAGGTTCAGAATTTGTTCTATAAATATATACGTGATCACATATCTTTTTTCCCCATCTTTATAACCAATCTGAAATCAAGTTCACATGTGATGCATGCTTAACAAAGCCTGAATATTTGCGTGTAAATGAAACCTTTTTGCCATGTTCAGGTTTTTTTTTTCCCTGTGGCATAAACCGGCTGAACAACCAGTCTTCCATATCAGGTGTGCATGCTTTGGTAATAATCATAAATCCTTTTTGAATGGACGCCCAGCAAGCTCAAAAACATTTGATTAATGAGAACCACACTTTAAAGCTAGCATGTTACATTCTAGAGAAGTGTTGGATCCACTTGTGGGAAGGAACAATTTAGCATTTTGCTTGATGCAAAAATGATCATTTATTGGATAACCCAAAATAAAAACCAAAAAAATCACTGTTCATAAAACAGGAACAGTATCAACCAAAACACTACCAGCAGACACAATTGGTAAATACTGTGCTAATATATGCTGTGCAGCCTTTAGGTTAAAAGCACTCTCTGGAAAGGGAATATAGACATCTGCCAAAATCAAAAACAAAGTCAAGTACAAAAAAGTTTAGAAGAGCAAAACAGGTAAGGATTCACAGAGAAATGTGCTTGAACCAAATGGAACGAAAATACTAAGCACGGATATAAACTCATGGAAAGGTGTGAGCCGCTCAGAGACTAACAGGAGAATAAGAGAACCATCGGGCACTGTGGAGGTGAACCTGGACAGCTTAAATTCAAGCTCCTTGCACTGGCTACAGGTGTGTGCCAATGACCATGACCCCCCCCCCAGATGCCGTCAGGTGCAATGCAGGAACTCAATCCTAGCTGTAAGTCATGCATACAATGAAGAGTTCCAAAACTTTCAAACGAGTAAATCCTGTTTTTTCAGCTTGAGGCAGGAACACGTGCCACTGCCAGTTTCGAACAAAGAAAAGTCAGGAATCCTTAACGGACAGATTTGCTCAATGAAAATGTCTCCAACAGAATTCATGGCTGAACTAAAAGGATCAGTTAAAGCAAATCATAACAAGTGTTTCAAAGCGCTGCAATCTCACTCGGTAAACATGGATTTATTCGTTGTATTTAATGACATTTCATCTCCTGCGTGGATTTATTTGCTCAAGGATGGGTCCTTATGACTTTGATACTAGCTAGTCATTTGAAATGGCTGTGTCTATAGTTCCACTAGCTAATAATGTCAAGTGATTGGAGATTTGTCTCGTGTCTTGAGAAACATCCACAGCATGGTTTAAAACAGCCAAAGGATTAAATTATTTGTAAATCAGAGTAAACGCATATGTTTTCGAAATTTAAAGAGAGCTTGCATTTTTCAGTATTAATAGCTTTCGACTAGCTCCTCGATTTAAACCTCCAGTTTGAGCATTTTGGAACTGCCATACATTACGTTCATTCCGGTGTCCCTGAGCCGGCTGCAATGCAGAACTGCAGTATTTCTCTTAAGTGGGCACATTCCTCTGAGAAGGATAAAGGATCTGACGCGACCGTGTGGGTGGTGAAGCTATTGCTTGCCCAAGTCAAGGCCTGCGTGTTTGTGCTGCAAAGCTATTTTACAAGCTCTTCGGTCCCTCCAGAGCCGACTAACAGACAGCTGATTCTTTACAGCAAGCATGACTCACAGAGATGGAGGACTGGAGAGAGTAAAAAATATCTTGCTGCGAACCTCTGACAATACAAAGACAATAAAAGATACGACAAAGAAAAATGCATGGAGATACATGCTGTGCAGTACTCTTATACTTCACTTGTTTAAAATCAGTATTTGAAAAGGCTTTCTATTTGTTCCGTCTGGTATGTTCTGTAAAAATTCTGTTAATTTTATGTAAGCTAATGCCCAGCTATAAAAGCTCACCTGTCCTCTTGAAAATGGGATGTACATGTTGCTATGACTTCTTCCTGTTTTAGTGATATTGGATCTGTTTATGTTAATATGGCCCTTCACACCTGTTTTGAAAAGTCTCCTCCAACAGTACAAAAAGAGCTCTATGTTACTGGATGATCAGGCCTGTTTTCTCTCAATTACCTAGTATTAGACCTTTGGACAGTTTAGGACAACACCCACGTCCACTCACTTCATCTTCAGCTGAGCTGCCCAGGACTTGGAGAAAGTGAGGTAGAACTTTCACATTGGATACAATCATGTAACATCATAACATTTTGGTTATGTCACATGTTAAGTAGATATTTATATTAGTTGGATATTGAAGGACCTTCACAAAAGTATATTTTTAATACTATGCAATGTTTAAAATGAGTGGATTGTTTTTACACCATGCCACAAAGTAATTAAAGACTTCCCCATTCTTTGACTTTTGTTCATTGATACATACAGCAAATGAAATCAGACTATAAGACATATTTTGAGTCACATGAGTAGTCTGATGTAGTTGAGAGTAAATGAAAGAGTCCAGTCCAGTGTGATGCTGCTGTGCTGTTTTTCCACCCTCTCGGACATACTTCCACTCAGAGAAAATCAAAGAAATCCTCACATGGCCCGCTTTGTCCTGATGAGAGTGGGGTGGCTGAAACAGCTTCAACACGAGCAATAAAGAATATTATGTCTCTAGTTGGCCCAAAAAGAAGGTTACATCCCTATTAAAGAGATCAAGGCAGCCAGTAAATACCTATAGAGGACTTTCCTGAGGTGATATTCTTTTTATTTTCATTTATTTATTTAGAAAAACCCATTGCAATATTTGATCTTTTAAAAGTGGCTAATTTTGAAACTTAAAGCATAGAAAAAAGATATAACAACAAGGAATTTAACAGATTATACTTAATTTCCCAGACGCTGCCACACTAATAGTTATTCTCTACTGATGGACATAGACATGTTCCATGGAAACATCAACTCAGAAACAAACACACGATTAAAAGAAGAGAAAAAAAATTATGAACACCCAGGTTGATCATTTCTATTGGAAGCATTTTTCTTTCAAATGAAAAAGGACAGCCTGCTCTCTACACTTATGATGTGATACATCCATCGATATCTATGCGCGTGCCTTTGAATGTGCTGTGGTATGTGCGCGCGCATTATAAAAACCCTTTGGTTCACGTGCGGAAGAGAATCTGTTGGGGTGGGGAAGAAGTGACTTGTGGGATGCGAAGTAGCCGGCGGCGAGAGGCGGACACACAGGGGGGAGAAACGGCTACGGGAGGAGCGGGAAATCAAACGGGAGAGTAATAGACACACACACAAAAAAACAACACGGCGCTACGCCTCATTTCAGGCCTGACATCCAGCTCTGCGCAGTCCGCCAGTGGATACTGAGCGGAAGGAAAAGTTCAAGTCCCACGAATCAGCGCGTGGGAGTGGGAAGCAGGGATCGTGACTGACTGAGGCAAGCTCCACTGTCTGTCTCGTCATGGCAGGTAATCACTTTAAACATTACGCCCCAAAAAAACAAAAACAAATTCTAAACTGAGTAGTGCCTCGTTATTTTTTGCATTTCTATTACTGCGCGGTTCGCTTTTAACGAGATACATTTAGCTAATGCAGCCGACTGTTGGTTTAGCTAACGGTAGCAAGCTAGCCAAACTTAGCAATGCTAACATGAGCTAGCGAGCAAACTAAAGTGTCATCGCCCATTTGTCCTGTCTCTACCGGCTAAAGCTCGTTAGCTAGCTGCTGCTAATAGCGATGGCTCACCCAATTCATACAACCTTTTGCAAGCTAACGGTGCACACTTTAATTTTATTTTTGTAACAAAGCGTAGCTACACTTCTGTGACACATTAACGTCAAGTTATCGTGGTTGGCTGATTCCCAGCTATGTTAAGAGGATATGTAGGAGTGCTTATTTATATGTTGTGGTATGCTGCTAATGTTTAAAGATTAAACAACCCGTAGTATGTTGTATTGGCTGCGTTTGCATCGCAACGGTTTACTTAAATAACACCTAAGGTGGCTTTACAAGTCAAACGAGCTAGCTCCAGCGCAAACTTTGACATTGCCCACATGCAGGCTAGCAGTCCAGGCCTTCCGCGGACCGAACCTTCTGTTTGTGCCGTGTCTGCCTTAAAGGACGGAAGAATAGCACATAATGCGTCTCGGAAAATTGGTGAAAAAAGAGGAAATCTTTCAAATAAAATGGTCAATAATTCAGTCAACCTCGCCTTGCATCGCTTGTCATTCATTAGCTTCTTTTGTCGAGGGTGGAGTTGTTGGAGTTACTGGAATGGGTGTGCGCCCTCAGCCCCTCTTACATCTTATAGACTTGAACAGGGGCCAGGAAATGTTTTTAATACATGTAATATTATCCCCAACACATAAATGAATTGGTGAGTGGTGCATGTACAGGCTATTGTCTGTTTACATATGTGTATGTATATAAACTTTTTTTATCTTTTGTATTTGAAACATTTATTGAATTCCATTTGATCTTATTCACCTATCTTTTTTATAATTTCAAAACAGGATCCACAGCCTTGCTTATGCATGACTATTAAACGCCCTTGATCATGGAAATGAGAACGCCAGGTCCTTCTATTATTGGACAAAGGAGAGTGTAATGTGCAATTATATTGCTATGATGGAGAACCTGTTGAGGCGAGTGGTTAAGAGTTAAGACGAGATGTTTTTCAAATTTTTTGTCTTTTTTTCTAGCTGATTTGTTTTTAACATGGGAGCCTAACATCAGAACCTCTACCGTAGTTGGTAGTTCTCTAGCTGAAAGGATGAAAGCCTCTTTGTGGTTGCCACTGTGACCTGGCGTTTATGTATTGTGGGTATTATTTGTACTTGATGCTTCCCACAACAGAACCGGTTGTGCCGGTATTGTGGAGTAGTTGTGGAATTTATCCCCCTGTTTGTATTGTGTGGTGATTAAATGTCAGTTTGTCTTCTTTGAGGCCAGACTTGGAGAAGTTGTGAGAGGATATGTGCACATCTATGAACGCATAAGCTGGTTTACCGTCGGTCGTCAATTTCATCATCATTGCACTTTGTTCCCACTGCCTGAACGGGCTTTACACGGACACTTTAATTTTTTTGCTCTTTTTTTCTTTTGAACAATTTGCGTTCAATGTATTAACAATGGGTTTCTCCTTCCTGTAAAGCCATAAATGATTGATGGTTTGTTTGTTCTTTGTGCAGGACCGGGAGGTGACATGCAGTGGTGCTTCTCTCAGGTGAAAGGTGCCATTGATGACGACGTTGCTGAAGGTATGAGCTCTGGGAAATGCATTCTGGGAAACTAATGTGGCCTATTGACAGCAAGGAGACGCTGACTTGACAGCCTAAACATCACATCTCCCATTCCTGTCCTAAAATGGAGCATGATTGAGCAATATCAGGGTGTGACAATCTGTGCTATTGCATGTTGGATATGCACACTCCCTGAAGTAGAACAGTAATGTTAAAGGGTTTGGCACCAGCTCCGAATCCATAAACTAAACCGTGTTACTCATATGAAATTAACAGCATTGTCATAATGGTCTTATTAAAGCTGTATTCCAACTATGGAAGTGAAACTGCAAACCAAATCGAGCAATTTATTCCTTGGAGCTACACTTACGTGAGCAAGATTAATTTCTGCTTGAGTAATTGAAAAGCAAAGAGTTTTGAGAAGAACTCATCTTGTATGGTTAATTCAGAGTGCTGAATAAACAACGATGAGTCAGTGCTTGTAGATGGTTTAAAAAGCTTCTGAGCGACGATCGCCATTTAGAAAGGACGCCACAAACGGGATATATTTTTGCGGCTTAAAGCGAGGACTCTGATGTGAAAGTGTTTCTGGACAGCGTGTGAACGCTGCTCTCAGCGGGACTTGGAGCGAAATGAAAACCTTTCGGCCTCAGAGCCAAAGCTTTGGCAGCTCAAAAAAGAGGAAAGATTCTCTGAAAGATGCTGGCTGCGGACCAATATCGCAGCTACTTTTAGAAGAAACCCCCCATGAGACTCCAGTCATGACAGGACATTGAAGAAGAAAACCAGAGTTGCTCCTCATGTGACTAAAGATCCATCAGAAGGATCTGATGGTTTCAGATGAGGTGTGAAATCCTCTTTTTTTTTTTTTTTTTTTTTCCTTCTTTTTGAAACTACTACATTGTATTTTTTTAAATACTTTGTACTAACGAACATAGATTTTCTCTGTGTTGTGACGTTTTCCCCATGATGTAGGAGCTTATTTCTTGGGCTTTCAATAATGGTTTATGCATTTATTAGTTAGTGAAATAACCTTGAAGTCGTACCTCAGGGCTCCGTGTGCTGACTGAACAAGGCCACGCGTCTTGAATCTGTAGATTGACAACACACTAGACTGTAACTCTGTGCTGTCGATCCGTTCAGTGTTTTGCAGTTTTGTGACATGTTTGACCTTTTGCATTATGTTTATTTTCTTTAAAAACAAAACAAAAAAACGGAGTGATTCTTCACCTTGCTTTAGCTGTAACTGTTGTGCAGAGCCTTTAAATAGAATGTTTCCATTTGTGTAGATCTGATGCACAACTTTATTCTTTTTTTTTTTTTTTTTTTTTTTTTTTTTTCTTACTTTAGACCTATTTTTCTGTTTCAAAATTTCAGACTGAGAGCCTCGAGAAGTCTGTAATTTTTTTCCTCAGTGAGGAGTTACACTTGGATATCGATAGAGGATATTGTATATCTATACGTCTTGGAAGAATAGAGACCCGGGATATGTTTTTTGCTATTTTCTATGATTGACTTAGCAATGTTTTAGAAGCCCAGTATTTGCTTTCTACTGGCTGCAATTTAACAACACCTTTCATCTCTTCTGTCTGTGTTATTCTGTGTTTTGTTATTGAAACTGTCCTGTTAAGAGCGCATACAAACCAGGGGTGACTTTACAGTGGCGGCGGTCAGCCTAATGCGTCCTAATTCTTCAGATTTTCCATATCACGTAATGGTTTTCAGAGGAATATGATCCTCAATTTTTTATATCTGACACAAGTACCAAAAAAAAAAATTGATGTGCTTCCACATAAACGATCCCCTGATTAAAATTACCCTCAACGACAGTGTGTTGGATGCCACGATATCTTTGAAAGTACTTTGCATCCATTACCGCCTGCTTTGGGCCTCAGGGAAGACATTTCGCACAAAGAGCCCAATGCCGGCAGAGTATTGTCCTCCTGCTCCAGTGGGGAATAAAGGGTTAAAAGCACGCATATGTAGATGTGAGTGGGCTTCCGTTGAAGAAGCAACATGATGCTGCTGATGTAGGGTGTGGGGGGGTTGGTTTAATCCAGGAACTGGGTTAGTGATCATCTAACGTCTGCTCTATTTTCTGTGACATGTCCCTGCGTCTCAGGCGGACATGTCTTTTCATCTGCTGCCCTCATTCCCACTAGAGTTATATACAGGGCTAATTTGGACCCACAGAGAAAGCTTTTTGCAGTGTATTTGGCATATACATATGTTTTCCCCTTATTATGGAATAATAATGATTTCTTTTTGTTTTTGTTTTTTTAGCGGACATCATTTCCACTGTTGAGTTTAACCACACAGGGGAGCTGCTGGCCACAGGAGACAAGGGTGGGCGTGTGGTCATTTTCCAGCAGGAAATAGAGGTGCCTATTCCGTCTTTTTTTTTTTTTTTTTCAGAAGATGCCTCTTGTGTGTTTGGGCTGCACCTGATCGTTGGACAAACCAGCAAACAAACTGATCACTTGTGTGAATTTCAACAGAACAAGAATCCACCTCAGTTTCGGAGCGAATACAATGTTTACAGCACCTTCCAGAGCCACGAGCCCGAGTTCGACTACTTGAAGAGTTTGGAAATCGAGGAGAAGATCAATAAGATTCGCTGGCTTCCTCAGAAGAATGCTGCTCAGTTTCTTCTGTCGACTAACGGTAACGCAGACGCCGGATGAACACTATCTGACTACCTTGTTAAACACTTTTTTTTTTCCTCTAATACATTTGGTATTTGCTCTGGTTGATCCAATTATAGCTCATATGTACAGATCTGGCATTAAAAGGAGTCTCAATGTCTATCCTGAGGAGTTGTTTGTGATCAGAAACTCAATTCCTAAGAAATATAATATATATATATATATAATATATTAATCACATAGTTTATAATTGTGACCAAAAGACATTTAAGAGGCTTTACAGACAACAATAATCAGATTATTTAACACTCAAGCAAAATCAATCTGTGTTTTAAAAAACAATGAAAGGAACACAGAAGAAATGAAATACAATAAAAAACATTAAATAAATTAAAGAGAACAAATGCCTTTTTTGTGTCCAAGACACAATGTGTGAAGCTGTTTTGCCCAAGAATTCACTTTACTAAATGTTGAAAACAAAATAAACGCTCCAGTATTTGAGATGGTCTGTTGTTGGTTGCTTGCTTACATCTGCGACACATTTTAAAAAGGCTTTGCCCCAACCAATCTAATTGATCCCTTTTGATCGATTTAAAAGCTAATTTTTTTTGTGAAATCTGTAAAAACAAGAAAGCATCCTGCCGGTAACTCCGACATTCACACCTGTGATGGGATCACCCGGAAAGCATGTTTGAATCAAATGTTGACAGTTAATGGGCCCTAAATGCGCTATTCTCTCTTCACGCAGATAAAACGATTAAATTGTGGAAAATCAGTGAACGAGACAAGCGACCGGACGGGTATAACCTCAAAGAGGAGGATGGAAGATACAAAGATCCAAACACTATCACCTCACTGCGGGTCAGTCACGTTTACAAAATGATGCAGGCATTTGGAATCGTTCACCACTGGGCAAAAAAAAACGTTTGACGTTTTTCTGACTTTAGAAAACTATGAGCTCATCTTGGATTTCAGGGCGAGATCATGTCTGAAAAGTTACAAGGTAACAAAGATGAGAGTTGGCATTCAAAGCATCTGTAAAAAATCAAAATGGGAATTGTTGGGTTTCTGTAGTTAACTTCAGAGTAGGGTCTGACCTGCTCTGTTTGGAAAGCGCTGTGAGACAACTGTTGTTGTGATGTGGCGCTATATAAATAAAATTGAATTGAAATTGATAATTGAAAACAAAGGCTCTCGGCATGTGAGGGACCAGGCCAAAAACCAGTGCTGGATGATGGTGATCCCCGAGCCCTAAGGCAGCAGACAGCCCACCGTGTGGGGGTTATGTCCTATGTGAACAGGATCTGGGTCAAAGCTCATTTAAAACAGACAGAGGCCAAGGGGATATGTGTTTAATTCTGAAAGGAAACGCCCAATTAAGAGGACCCAAGACTGCTGAGAAGCTAGACTCTATTAGCTCAAGAATGGGGCAGGAGTCTGCCCCCAGAGGGGCAGCAGCTGGTCTCCTCTGTTCCAAGACGTTTACAGATTGCTGTTTAAAAAAAATAAATAAATAAAATAAAATAAAAGACTAAAGTGTCTGCTACACAGTGATATACAAAGTCCTTTCCCAACAGTTTGTTTTTTTTAAAGGTGAGCTCATAGTTATCTGTGATGAGTCTTTTTTTTTTTTTTTTGCTCTAGAATAGAATGCTGTTAATGTAGACATGTACATCGAGACATGACTTTATTTAATCTTGCTAATAAGATGCCACCCAGCTTCGTACTCTTGGAAATACCGTTCGCTCCAAAATGCAGCTGGGTTAATCTTGAGGTTCTTTCTGGCTTTTTTTTTTCTTCTCTTTTTTTCTCCCCCCTCCCTCAGGTACCTGTTTTAATGCCAATGGACCTTATGGTTGAGGCCAGCCCCCGGAGGGTGTTCGCCAATGCTCACACCTACCATATCAACTCGGTCTCGGTCAACAGCGACAATGAGACCTATCTGTCTGCAGACGATCTCCGCATCAACCTCTGGAACCTAGAGATCACCGACCGCAGCTTCAGTATCCTTAAAGCGTGTCCGTTTTAGTGCCTTTTTTTGGCAGAAATCCATCGTTACAGAAATCCACCGTTAAGTCTCCACCGAGGTGATGTATTGTGGCCTTAACCTCACGCTGCTCAGATATTGTTGACATCAAACCGGCCAACATGGAGGAGCTAACGGAGGTGATCACGGCGGCGGAGTTTCACCCCCACCAGTGCAACACGTTTGTGTACAGCAGCAGCAAAGGGACCATACGGCTGTGCGACATGAGGGCCTCGGCGCTGTGTGACAAGCACTCAAAGTGTGAGTACCTCCTGCGGTTTGGCCTCACACTCGCTCCCCCTCTGCCAGAGCGGCGCCATTAAACGGCGTCCGCCTCGTGTGTTTGAATTGAATTGAATTGAATATACTTTATTGATCTCCCAGTGTTCGAGGAACCGGAGGATCCCAGCAACCGCTCCTTCTTCTCTGAGATCATATCGTCCATCTCAGATGTCAAGTTTAGCCACAATGGACGCTACATGATGACCAGAGACTACTTGTCGGTTAAGATCTGGGACCTGAACATGGAAAGCAGGCCGGTGGAAACGTATCAGGTGAGAATGATGAGCTCCAGACCTGTTGGAACCCGTGGACATTTCAGTGACAAATGTTCCTCTCATGAAGATGTTTGTATTGTTTTTGTTTTTCTTCTTCTTTCTAACAATAATGGAGATGCATGCCTTATACCAGCATTGACACATTGGACCCCAATGACATGAATTTGATCCAAATTCCAGCCTCTTCCTTCATGGGATTCAATCTGTTTGAGCAGGATGTTGCCAGTGATGCTGTTCAGTTAACCCAAATGAGGCTGCATCATTTCACTCAGAATTTTCATGCATCAAAAGAAAAACGAACTACTGTTTTGCTTCTAGGGTAAAGGGTTTGTGGGCTAGAAAGCTTTTTTTATTCAATTAAAGGTATGTTAGGTGTTAATGCAAGCTGTCTGTTCGTTTTTGGGAAACATTTGTCTTGTTTTAAAATCCTATTATAACCTGAGCTTCAAAATCCACCTGATGATGCTCCTGAAATTTTTAGGTGGTACCTTGACTCATATGTCATCAATGTATATAATCCCCCAGGTTTGTTCTGCTCTATTTAAATTGAAAATGCTCAGTTTTAAAAAAAATTTTTTTTTTTAAATCAATCTTGTATGATTTGTTACTTTCCCATAATGTCCACTAGGAGACACCCTTACACACAATTTAGGTTACAGGAACTTCTAACTTGTTGACATGAGATTTTCTGAATATTAATCTGATCTAAGCGACTGTTCACACTTTACAGTGGAGATCAGTTTTTCTCATCCTCACCAGCCTCTGATTCCATCTCTGAATCACCGCAGGTTCACGAGTACCTGAGGAGCAAGCTGTGCTCGCTCTACGAGAACGACTGCATCTTTGACAAGTTTGAATGCTGCTGGAATGGCAATGACAGGTACGGACGTGCACACGCTCACAAAACCGGCTGCGAAACGCTTAAAGTAACCATTGTTTCTGCTGAGGCGCTAGCTGTCGCTCCACTGTGATCACCACCAAGCCTGCTAAAAAAATGAGGACTCCACCACACCTGAAATGACTGTTGTGACCAAAATGATGTTTGTTTTATTTCTTTTTAATTAGCTGAACTCTCTGGCTTTGTAATACTGATGAGGTGTCAGCTCTAAATGTTTCATTCAGACTGAGACCAGGGCCTGTGGCTTATGCTTGGCTCTGTTTCAAGATGTATTATTATCCTCAAAAATGGCTTCTGCCTCACCAAACCTCTTTGATATCCAGTAACCCAAGAGCAACAGCTTGTCAAACTCTGCTCTTGGAACCTATTTATATTTGTCGACACTTTCCCTTCTGATGCCAAAAATGGCAATTTGTACATATTTGTTGTAAATTAAGGTAGCTCTCCTCTCTGAGTAGTGTCAGGCATTTTACAGTTGTTGGGGGTCTTCCCAGCATTACAAGTGTGTGCCTGAACACACTTTTTTTTTTTTTTTAAACACCACCCTTTCTCTGTTTATTCTCTGCATTCACTCTTTTTCTCACTCGTCTTCCCCCAAAGTTGCTGTTTTAGTGGGACTTTTATAGATTGAGTAAACTTAGAATTCTGATAACAGTTCTCTGGGCATGTCCAGACCCTTTCCAAAAAAAACTGAATATCATAGAAAAGTTGATTGATTTCCATAAATCCATTCAAAAAGTTAAACTTTCATAGAGTATAGATTCAGGGCCCACAATTTAAATTATTTAAAAAAAACCTCTTGTTTAGAATTATATTATTACATAACATATTTAGAATTGGAATGCTGTGAAGAAATCTCCATTTTCTTCTCAGTTTTTGCAGAAAACTATGTGTTAATCTTTTAATCACTGCCCCTATGCAACATAACATTTAGGCAGTCAGCCTGCGGCATTGCCCGGGAGTTACGGAATCCCAGATTTCCGGATTTCCTTGATGCTTGCCGTCAGCTTGGGTTCTGTTCCTCACCCGTCTTCCTCCAAACCCCAGTGAAAGGCACACTTTTACCTTTTTCTCCTTGGCCCAGTTGAGACCCTTCTAACTTTGGCTCAGGCTCAGAAGGGGCTTGACCCAAGGAAACCGACAGTTGCAGCCCATCTCCCGGAAGAGTGTGGTGGCCTTTGAAGCTGTGACTGCCGCCTCATTCCGCTCTTTCTGAATATCTGCCAGACTCTCGAATCGTCTCTTTTGATTATCTGCTGGAGCCCATGGTCATCTATTTTGCTTGTTCTCTTGCTTCTCCACAAGCAAGAGAAGATCCACAAGCAGGGCCACATTTTGCCCCTCCACTATGCTTCCCACAGCACTCTATGACCAGCCAGCCAGTAGCTGTGAAGTTTTATGGCTTTAAACATCCTAAGTAGGGTATCAAGGATAGGCTTGTCCCGATTCGATATTTGGATCAATTTTTGCAAATAAATGCTTATCGGCCGGCATGAGAAAAATGCCCATCCAGAGTCCCGATCCAGTCCCACAAGAGCATTAGCATCTCCTAACCCACTGGTCTGTGTCCTAACCATTAAGTTGTTATATAAGTAAATCCCTGTTCAACATGAGTCTGACAACTAAGTAGGTAGGCTAAATAACTTTAAGCTTTAATACATGCTCTGATAGGTCGGTATCAGATCAGAAGTGCAAACAACTGGATGGTCTTTTGGCCACTTGTCCTGTCTGCAGTCTTCCCTGTATTGAACTGGACTGAAGCAATTTAATGACACTTTGGGAAACTGCGCTATTCCTTTTGAGTTTAGTAGAGAATTAGTGTGTGACACTTAGTTTAAAACAATCACATCCTGCAAAACGTGGGCTGATTTTTTCACCGTATTGTAATTTTTCCTGATTTCCTGAATTATGTAGGAATACACAAATTAAGAACTTTAAATCCTTTAAATTGCTGGCCCTGAATTGATAATGTGTGAAAGTTTAACTTAAAAAAAAAAAAAAAAATTAACATATTTTCCATGATATTCACATTTTTGGAAAGGGTCTGTTTCCAGGGCAACAGCACCATGGCTGTAGGTAAAGGGTTTTAGAGATTGTAAGAGAATCCCTTTCTCCATTCTCTACTCCTTTTTGGTAGTCATTTTAAGACTGTAGATATTCTAGATGCTGACACACTTTCCCTCCCCCACTGCCCTCAGTGTGGTGATGACCGGCTCGTACAACAACTTCTTCCGGATGTTCGACCGCGGCCACCGGCGGGACGTCATGCTGGAAGCGTCCCGCGAGAACAGCAAACCCATGCAGGTGCTGAAGCCCCGCAAGGTGTGCGCCGGCGGCAAGCGCAAGAAGGACGAAATCAGCGTGGACAGCTTGGACTTCAACAAGAAAATCCTCCACACTGCCTGGCACCCCCAGGACAACATCATTGCCGTGGCAACAACCAACAACCTCTACATATTCCAGGACAAAATAAACTAACAGCAGGGAGATCTGGCGCGTTACCCGGCGACGACGCCGTCGACCGTACCACTCGCAGGCCTCAGCCGGGGTGATTGGAGCTCACGCCGACGACCAGCACCCCCAGCCGTCGCCACCGAGTAAACTGACTTTGCCACTTTGTTCTAGATGTGGACAGATGAAGACTCTGTTGCCCATCATCGGTCTGTCTGAAGCAGAGTGACGTCTGCCTTGTCGTTTAAGTGATGTTGTGCCAAGTTTTTCCCCCTTTCCCATGTTTTTTTTGTTCTGTTTATTTTTTGCTCTTGCCCACTGGCAAGAGCACTGGCCCTTTACTTCTCTAATGTGGGTAAACAAGTTCATTTCCTTAAAATTCAGACTACAGACACACTTATTTTTATAACTTTTCCCCCTCCAAAATGGCTCTGTAGTTGATAAACACTTGAGTATGTCCCTTTATTGTCCTGTGCCATAGTGGTGTTTATTTTTTCTGAGGATTATGACTTTTTTTCTGTATTTATACATCGTCTTTTTTTTTTCTTTTTTTCTTTCTTTTTTTTAAAGTAAGCATCCACTGTACTGTTTGTTCTGTTGAGGTTCTTTACACCCATGTTCATTAAACAGTGCGTACTCAAGGGGGCTCTCAAGTATGCTCGGTTAACTTTTTTTCGTTTTTTGCCCCTTCCCACCCGCCCACCACCCCACACACACACACACACACACACACACACAAAGATACACACACACAAACACTGTATCGGTTCATACAGGACAGCAATGCCTTGACTGTGGCCGCCCAAGATTTTAAGTACAGTGTGTTTTCACAGATTTAGGCCAAAAGAGGCTTTGTCCTGCCTGCTGACGCTGTGCCTCAGGCTCTGGGTGGCCAAAAAGGCCACAACACCAGAAGAGATTTCAATTAGTTCCCTTTGAGATTGGCTCTTTGTCTTGACATCTTTGTGCACTGGTTCCTCCTCCTTTACTTTTGTGTTCAACAATAGTCAGGTATAAGAAATAGCCTATACAAAGATAATTATTATGATTGTCATATTTATATTAAAAAAAAAAGTTTAAAAGTCTCCAGATGTGTTCCATCCAATTTTGCGAAATGACCTTTGACATATCCCTTTCAAGTGATCCTAAGTATTGTCTTCCCACTGTGTATAGTAGCTCTCTAGCAGCTCTTCACAACAGGGAAACTTTCAGTATGACACTGGACTCCATTTCTGCACCAAAGGACGTAAAATGGATATCTCTTGTATGGCTGCAACTTAAAAAAACGATCTATTATTTGGGGCATTAAGTCACTCAAAGCGTCTCTTTGAACTACCGCAGATATTATTGCTTCTTTTATTTGATGGTGCAATAAATCCACACAACTTCTACTCTTCATATCTTAAAATGGTATTTAAAAATGTGGAAAATTAAGAGCGATGCCTCCGGTAATATGTAACTGCAATTTTACTTTGACAGTGAAGGAAAAAAAAAAAGATAATAAAGGACTACTTTTTGCATACTTGTGATTGCCTGGTTGTTAAACAAATCTGATCATCAGTTTGCTTATTTTTGTAGCTTGTCACTAAACTTGACACATCTCATTACGAGAGACTGACATCTAGTTCATCTGATAGAGACGCTCTGAGAAGAAAAACATTGGTTGTAACTAAATGTCTGACCCATTAGCGCCATGTGGACGTGGAGGCACGCACGCCAACGTTGGAAACTTGGTATTGAGCCATTCAAGATGTCGTATAACTTCACGTGTTTATGCTTAAATTCGGACCTAAGATGCAACCAGAATACGCGTGTGTGTGTATGTGATTATTTCAGGGCGTTACGTAATGAGTAATTCGACCCCCCTCCCTTATCAATCGGACGTTGTGACGTCATCAGCCAGCTCCGGGGAGGTGTGTTCACGTCTGCCCGTCCGCTCTGCTGCTGCTCCCAGACCGAAAACAAACGGCCGCGGCGCCTCAGCCCTGCTAGCTTTGCTCTCAAACGCCACGCTGCAGACAACTCAGTCCGGTTGCGTTATCGCCCGTTTGAATGTGTGCAGATAAAGCAGTGCACTTTTTGCACTGACTGGAGTCCTTAATGCAACCCGCCCTTCTCACCAGGGACGACAATGTCTGACGCTGCTAACGTTATTCCTACAGACAACGGAGACTCGGGGCTGAACGGTAGGCTGAACGCCATTCTGTAACAAGTAAACTGTGCTCTGTACTTGTTAATATGTGGAGTTTTGTCACCTAACATCTGTAAATGTGCACATTTGTATTTTGTTTAATTGCTACTCTTTGCCGAATCGAGAATAATTAGAACGCTATGTTCCGTGTGTACGTTGACAATGCAGGGGCCAATGGCGAGCCTTGTTGTATGACTGACGAGCGGGTAAACCAATCACGAACTCGTGTAGTGGATGGAGGTGGGTTTAAGCGTTGTCAACAAAGGTAGCATAAATAAGTCAGAATTGGTTAAAACGAATAAAATACATTTTTGATAATGTGTACGTACAATTTAATAAAGTTACGCAGAATGTATCTAATTGTATTCGTTATATCAGATACCAAACTTAATAACGATACAAACATAGTTTAAGCACAGTAATGTATGAAGTCACTATACGTGGCAAAACAGGTATTTTTACGTGGTTGAATGCGTTAATTCTCGGGCAGTTATATAATTTCTTGTTCTTAACTATGGCGGCTTATCTTTAAGACCCCGATATATGTCGGCCATTGGAGAGGTAAACAAAGGGTTGCTTATGACACTGCTTTACTGACTCAGGGCACTGTCTACAGAGCTGCTATGGTAAGTTTAGCAAGACTGGGGGGGTGGGGGGGCTTAACTTGGCATACTATTTATGGCCACAGTGACAAGGGGACAGAAGTTTTGGACATGAAGGAGATGGGAGGTGTTACTGCACGCAGCCCATGAAGCCTGAAGACAAACTTTCCAGCATCTCATGCCAGATGCAAATAGTTTTTTTTTTTTTTAATGTCTGATTGACAGCTTCCTCTACAAAAGGTCATCCTTTGCTAAATGGGTGATATTTTTTTTACACTTTTTTGTGGGCCCTCTCATTCAAAAGCAAGTTTGGCGCCCAGTCTCCTCTCAGCTGTAAGATAAACTTGACAATTCCAACATTTATCATATGCTGTTACTCCAGACTTTGTATGGATAAGGTTTGTGGGACCTTTCCTGCCTTTTGACGGCATTTTTTCTTTAACCCCGCTCTGCATTCGCCCGGTAAACATTGAAACAGTCTTAAATCAGGGCTGAACCCGAATACTTGTGGTTTTTTTTTTACACATCAAGTCTTCTGCCTCGGGGTCACATCGTTTCGCCCTTTTCTAAGCACCCCAGCAGCTGATAATGTCTGCGGCCAGAATGTTCGGAAGGATCGGCGCCATGGCAACGTGGTTTTAGGCCCGGGAGGGAAGACAATAGGCTGTGGATAGCGGCTTGGCCAGTGGTCTGCTGTGTAATCCACAGGATGAGTGCGAGTGCTGAGTCGAAGCCTCTTTATGGGGGGGGAGTGAGATTAGCCTCTTTAGTGGTGTGCTCAACCTGATGTTTGCTCACTTTTATGGGGTCGAGCGAACTTTTTAGGTGGCCTTCCTCTTAAATTTTTTTTTTCTGGGGAGGGAAAGGAGAAGTGTTTTGATCACGTACGATAAGGGATGGCGAAGAAGTTCTTCCCCACCCTTTCTCTAACCTGCCCCTCCTCTATATTTGTAACCCAGCTCTGACACGCTGTGCCCGTTCAGCTGCCCGTCCATGCGGGAGCTCACGTACAAGCCGGGAAAGCGTTATGTATCCCAGTCAAGGTCTATGAGCACAGCACACACACTGCTCTCTCTCATCACTCAGCAATAAATAGAACTTTACTCCTCAGCGTCTTTGACTGACAGTTTCACACTGCCCATCTTTTTTTCACCCAGACCACAGATTATGATGTCATCTTTTCCATTTTCCTTTATTCATCTTTAGGGTTCTTTGTTTAAAAAAGCAACAAAAAAAAACACTTTTGGCTCAACTTTATTTAAATTATAATGTCCGATTAAACACAGAATAAGTGGAGACAAAATTGGGTAAACTAGAACATATGGACAGTGGTAATTGTAATTCCAAATAAAAGAAAAAAATGCCTCTTTCGAAATATTTTTTTCCTAAACAGGATATTAAGTCAGAGCATACACCATGTTTAGAAACAGAGAAATTCTTTGACAAGCTATGCAAACTTCTATATTCTTTTTTTGTCTTAAAACTTGTACATTCCTAAACAATTGCTTTATCTTAAATAAACTAAGTTTAGCAAATATTTTTTGGAGTAGGAGGCTTCTCTAAAATTATTAAGTTAGTGAAGCTGGGGATTTATCGGCCATTGGAATAGAAACCCTTATGACTGCAGAGCATCTCTAATTTCTAAGTGTATTTGCCTACGTGGGTCACAGAAGCAGTTTGCCTATATAAGCAAACATACTGCAGTGACCCCCCCCAAATATAAACAGGTGATGATCATGACAGTAACCCAACTCAAAATAGCGCCATTGACACAGTTTCCAAAGCTTTGTGCCCGGGGTGTTTGCTTGTTTTTGTGCTTTTTTTCATTGAAAAGAAGCCTCCCCTCGTCCGAATTTGAGTCAATTTGATCAGTTCAGCTTCTAAGAATTCCAACCACACTGAAGGGAATTACATGAACCCAGCAGGTCACCAACGGGTGACTCAGGAGTGTGTCCGTCTCTCTCACAGGGTCCTGGGTGGAGTTGGAGATGAACCGAGCTCATCAAGCCCAGTCTTCCTCCACAGCGGCTCTGCTGCCCCTCCCTCAGGTGGAGGAAGAGGAAGCCATCGTGGGGGGGCTGGAGCACGTGCCTTCGTCCTCCTCCATCCACAACGGAGACATGGAAAAGATCCTGTTGGATGCCCAGCACGAGTCCAGCCGCAGCAACTCCTCCTGCGACAGGTAGAATTACTGCCACCCAGAAGCTGTCCCTGCATCGCTCAGCTTGATTTTGAACTTATCCCTTTAATTTTTCGATGAAAAACAATGGGCTCTTACAGTGAAACCTTCAGAAATGAGCTGTTAGTTTAGAGGTTGATCTTCTTCTGTCAATGAGGTGGAGGTGAGGGTACATGTAGAATCGTTTGGCAGAATTGTGACTTTTGTCACAGCTCTGACCCACTGATCGATCGCTGTGGAAAACACACATCCTATTTCAGTTTCGGTGTTTGACATTGCAGGGTGTAAAACAGCATCATCCAGTTCTTATCAGATCTTAGAGCTAAGTAAATATAGATAGAGAGATGAAAAAAAACAGCAGATGGTGTGTAAGCATGTGTCAGGACTTACTGATCATAAAGCCCCAGCCTGTGAAATCATGAGGTCTGTCAGGGAATCGACAGCTTGAAGAAAAACGTTTTGCAATAGAATCTCGGAAGTTAGCATTTTTTTGGTTATGATCATTATTATATTTTGTTCAAGTTTTTGCAATCAGGTTGTTATTGTCAGGGCTCTGGACTTCATACGAATCTAATATCCTGTTATTGTTAAACAATCTTAAATCATCAGCCCTCCAACACTGAGCCTGGCAGTTGGTATGAGGCTCAAATGCTGTTTGTTTTTTAGTTTTAGTCTCATCTTTTCAGAATACATTGTTTGAGAAGTCTTTTGGCCTGTTCATGCAGTGGAAAGACATCTCTTGAAATTCCTTTTAAACATGTCCAACTTCTTTTTTCTCATTTTTCTGTCATAAACTTAAACGTATCAGAGGAAGTGGGACTTCCACTTTTGTGAGGATCACAATGATCTAGAATGTTTTCCAATTCTAACCTTTCTCTTCGTGATCGACTTCAAAGACTTGGGAAGTGCTTTGAAAACAATTCTCAGATTGATAGGCAGCGGAAATTGCTTCTCTAAGATCTCCGCTGTAGTCTCTTTCACCTCCTCGTTGTGTTGTCCTCATTGGAAAAACGTCAGTTTTATAGAGGTGCTCGCATTGATTGTATTGGGTAGGAAGGTTTGCACTGTGCACTGTAAATGAAGCCACAATCTTATCATTTTCCCTTAAAGACAAAAAACACACAAATGTTTAACACAGGAAACTTACTCTCCAAAAACAACAACCCTCCCAGTGTTACATTTAGTGATGCATTTAGTCAGCAGGCTATCAAGATTAGGTTTTCGTACAAAAATACAACCACATACACATGTAAATACCTCCTCACCACACATTTATCAGCATTTTTTGGAAAGATCCTGACCCTTTACCCCGTGAACACATCACGTGCTCATGTGTAACCCCGGAGGTTGCGATAAAGCACACCTTATCAGCCAGCTGGACCGTCAGCTGTCACTGAGTCACCTGAGGATGTTTTCAAACCTGCGAGCCAAGAACATTGTGTCAGTTTGCGGCTCTGAGTTAAGCAGGACCAAAACATCAATAAAGCACCTCCTCTGACATGTTGAGAACAAGACACGCCTCATAGAGCCAAACAAAGGGTTTCTTTCCCCCCCAGTAAGTCCCAGACATCTATTCATATTTCATAAGAAAGGTCAGAGTACAGAGGTGAGTGAGGACTGGTCAAACATTGAGCTCAAGAGGACATTTGGAAGCAATAGTGGATAAGGAGTGCAAGTGTTAAAGCCACAAGTTACTTTTTCATCATATCCGTATGACAGTTATGCCATTTCTAAATTTTGAATAATGGCAAAAATGAAAAATAAAAAAGGACAAATTTATTAAATATAACTACGTATGTAATATGACTAATAACTTATCTGTTCTTATCTCACTGATTCCACAAAGGTACATATCTGAGGGTACGCCATGTATGCTCTCCTGGTAGCTTATTAACCCGTCATATAGCTAGGATTCAGAGGTCATCCATAGCTCTCTGGCTGATTGTTCCCGTGGCCTTTGGTGAAAATTTGAAATCACAATGTGACGAACACCTGCCTTTTAAGTCAGAATGTAGCCCTCTTTAGTAAATAAAGATCTCAGGAGGGCATCACTTTTAAAGGCCTCTGCCCTTTCTACTGCCAATCCACAGCCCCCCGCGGCCCCACTCTCCCCAGGAGGAGGGACAGATCATCTTCGACGTGGACATGAGCGGCAGAAGAGACAGCCAAGTAAGCACTTCCCTGCCTCCTCAGCTTTTCCATCACTCTGTTGCCATGGCAGCCTCAGCCACTGGTCCTGAGCTGCTTTGCGTGAACAGCAGAATGACAACCGCTGCCTGTCTGTTGTTTCTATGCAGATGGATTTTTCTTTCCCACTGTTGCCATTTTGTCTCTAATAGGAAAGCAGATTGTTTGTTTGTTTGTTGTTGTTATGAGGAAGTGATTTTAGAGTGACAAATGGATCTACAAATATCTTTTATGTATGTGTCTGTCCTGAAAAAGGTTGTTGAATAAAAGCGTTCCGTTTCCTTAGTCTGAAGAGGACGCCTTGGACAAAGAGAGGGACATGGACATCCTGATGAAGGACGCAGATTGGGTCGCTGACTGGTCCAGTCGGCCGGAAAACATTCCCCCCAAGTACGTCTCTGTTCTGTAAACACCAGCCTTCTGCGTCCATGGTAACTGAACACACTCGGCCGCTTGTTCGTGCGGAAAGAAGGGGCTTGTGATTGTGGCGATAAATTAAGCCCACTAAGAGGAGATTTCAGCAAAGACAGAAAGATTAAAAAGTGCAGCCCTCTGCAATAGAAGTCTTGGAAATACATTTTTAAGCGTTGCACAATAATAATCAAAGAATTTAGCTATGATTGAAAGTACGAATGTATTATGTGCATATACTTTTTTTTTTTAGCTGTGAAACTTGCACAATCTGAGAGGTTTTCAAGCCAACTTTTGTGTTGAGACCCAAATTCAGTCTGTTTTATCCTTTTTTTTTTTTAAGGAAGGCAAGTTTATTTATATGGCACATTTAGTATACAAGACAAAATGACAAAGGGAAAAGGATTTCAAAAGAAAAGTGGATTAAGAAGTAAATGTTTAACAGCAGAAGTTAGGAATAAGCAAAATGGAAAAAAATAAAAGTGATTGATTAAATAGATTTAAAGAAACAGTGGAGATAAAATACCTTCAATTGTCATATGCGCAGCAACATTTTCAGCCTGGATTTAATAATTCAAGATTTTAGGAGCATAAAACTGAATCACAGCCTCACATCGTTTGGTTCTGACTCTGGTTCAGAGTCCGAGGTGGTTCTTACAGTTCATGTCAGAGACGTCCTCTGGCCATAAAGATTTGTATACAAGCAGAGCTTTTCTAAAGTCTATTCTCTGAGCAACAGGAAGCCACTGCATAAACCTGGGCACTGGACTAATACGCCTATATTTCCTCGTTCCAGTCAAAACATGAACAGCAGCACTCTAAAAAGATGCTGATGCTATCGATATAACGTGGCTGTTCAGGGTGAGGTCTGAGTCCAGTATTAGCCCCATATCTCTAACCAGATCAGTGCGTTCAAGAGAGAGTCTCAAGTTGACTGATGACACTTTATCGTTGGGTTTTGTGGGCCACAGACGAAGATTTCAGTTTGATTTGATTTTAACCGGAGGAAATTATTTTGCATCCACACTGATCTGTTCCAGACAGCAACACAATAAAGTGTCATCTGCATAGCTGTGGTAGGACACATTATAGCTGCATATTAACTTCCTAGAAGCATATACAGATTGAAATCTGTGATCTGAAAAAAGATCAATGGGTCTTTTAAAGATTCTGGGAATATTGGCAAACTACCAAATATTGGAGTCACGAAGAAAAGAGGCAAATTTGAAGTGAGAAGCCCTGGACACAGACTGGACGGGTGTTTGTTGGTTTCGAAAGCTAATTAAAAATAAATTTTTCTTGCAGGGAATTTCATTTCCGTCACCCTCGGCGCTCTGTAACGCTCAGCATGAGGAAGACTGGGGCCATGAAGAAAGGGGGCATCTTCTCTGCCGAGTTTCTCAAAGTCTTCATCCCCTCGCTGGTGCTGTCGCACATCATCGCTCTGGGTCTGGGGTAAGACTCAAACACCACTAATCACATTTACGGCCGCAGTTCAAGTGTGCACAAGAACAGTAAACCTTTCTCTTTGACATTAACATAAATTTTCACATTGTGCTAAGATTCACCCCTCATTGACTCACCATACAGTATAACATTTGCTAATGAGATTCTACACAAATAAGACTTTGTAGCTGAGCAGGTAAAGTTAAAAACATGGTTCTCTTTTATGTTTTGCTAATTATTTCTAAGTTCCTGCTGTTAAGGCGTGGTAGGTTAGAACACGTGCAGATGTTTGGGCTGCTCACTGTTGGCCTGATAGTGATAATCCACTTCCACTCATGGGCTGTAAAAGTTCCATGTACTACTGCTGATTCACTGCATGCCAAGTATACATAGCATTCTGTAGGAGATGAGAATTTACAGATGAAATTTCACACTGTACGTCAGAAAGTCACTACATGCTGCAGAGCTTCCCTACCTGGGGTCTGGCCATTACCCCAGTGGTTCCCCTCCGGAGCAGCAAGAGGCCCAGCTATAACTGTCAAGCACTCAGAAAATGTTCTAAACCTTTTGCAGGGGCCTGTTGAAGGTAGCTGTAGATCAGACCACACGTAAGATGACACATACTTGACCTGGATGATTCATTTTGTGACTGGACTATCAACCATCTCTTAGCATGGGGAGGCTAACAACTAGCATTTCCAAGTTCTTTATATGAAGGCGTAGGCGTTGCATTGACTGTGCATGAACATTCATAAGCTCTTAATGTACATATTTTTGTTGGTTGTCCCTCATTTGAAACAGTCACATTGCTTTATCTATAGCTAACTAGATTAGCTGCAGCGCTAGCATCTCTTCTTTTGTGTTAGTCGATCGTGGTGCACTGCTGCCATCTACTGTTCATTTGCTTGTAACTGCAGTCTGAAGCGCTCATTAAAAACAGACAAACGATAGCTTTAGGGTTTATTTAATCGTCTTTGTAAATTAAACTAATAAAATTGCTAAAATTAAATTTGAAAAAATTTAATTGCCTTTAAAATAGTATTAAAAACCACCTGTCTGCAGAGAACATACAGCCTTCCTGTGGGTCTGCATTTGTATTTTTGCTTCAATGGCAGTATTATAGTTTAGCAAAACCAGGCAGTCACAGTTGGATTTAACATTTACAACTTCAGCATAGGTAGTTGGCTTAAAATGTGTGTGCCATGTGAGGAAAAGCGTTTGCGTTCTTGAACTGCTGAAGGGAATTCCTCAATGATCCTTGTCTCTTTTTTTTCTTCTGATATGTTTTTGATTAGTAATGACGCAAAGGGCACATAGCGAAAAAAGTGTCGAGAAGAGATGTTTTGCCGCTTTGTCATTTTGGAGGAAATTCTCGTTTTACCAATGCCGGCCCTTACTTATTTTTACCATAGGATCTATGAGCTCAGAACATTGTGTTAGTGAGCTGCTCAGAGTTGAGGAGGAACAGGAACATAACACAGTCTGCTCACATTTAGAACAGCACAGCGGTTCCAGTGCTTGAAATTAACCACGGAAATGTTTCTTTACTCAAAACGATAAGTCATAGAACGTATAAATTAGAAATACATTTTTTATTGTCAGTACTTTCATAGGAATAAAACAGAATGACAGCTCAGAAGAGCGTCGGGTTGTTTAAATTGCTGATCATACCGTTTGCCAAAGTGCGTCTGTAGTCCCCTTTAAAGCCCAGCAAGGGGAGCTGTAATCCACACTAAAGTCTGGGCAGGGCGTCTGTCAGTTTGTGCAGAGCAGCTGCTGCACACCTGCTGCCTCAGATCCAGCTCTGACACTCCCAGCAGGGCTCCGTTCGTGATCGCGCATGGCACAATAGTCTTTGCTCCCCATTCAGATAATGTTCAGCTGTTCTGACCAACATGACGAGATGTGGAACGAGTCCTCTCCCTGCAGGATGTCCTAAGCTTCAGAACTGGATTATTTTTCCCTCTTTGTCTCTGTTTAATTAGCTTTCGTGTTTTTCTGTTCACACTTCTTTGGGCTTATTCTTTCATATTTGATTCATTGTCACCGCCAGCAGATTTGAATAATTTGCGACCATCTTTTTCTCTGTTTCCCTTCTTCTCAGGGTCTACATTGGAAAGAGGTTGACCACGCCACCCACCAGCTCCTTCTGAAGCTGAATCTGTAGAAAAGGGCTTGACAAGTGGCCGTGAGCTGTTGGAATAAGTTTAGCAGCCGCAAGAAGAATGCCCGCCTCTCCTCCCTCCACCCTGCCTACCCTCGCTCCCCCCCCCCCCACCCTGAGATATGACATGTTTTCAGGGGGAACGCATCTGCCTTTATCCCACTTCCCGACTCCCCCTTTCTTCCTCTTGCTGTTTTTTCTCAATCAGCTGTTCTGATTGTCTGTAGATATCCCCGTCTCCACTCCATACATCCCTCACTCATTTGTATGAGCTTTTCAAGAATGAGTCGGGCCATATCCCTTTTTCCCCGGCAAAATGGGTTCAAACGTTAACGATGGGTGGGTTTACAGGGAGGGCTGCGGGGTTAAACTAAACTGGTCTACCACACGATTAGTTTTGGTCCCCTCTGATCATGTGACATTACAAGAGGACTGACCACAGATTGTGCCACCTGCACCGGTAGCCCAACACTCGACCTCGAAAGGGGTTCGACCAAATTAAGTCGGCTACTCACATCAAACATGTGATCATGCCTTTTTTTGTTCTTTTTATCTCTGAGTAGCCGTTTTTGTTTCCGTTTCTTTACGAGATTTAGTTTTTTAAGATTTATTCTAAATCCAGCGCTTGTTTTTACAGTGAAAGGAGTTACCGAAGCGGCCAACACAAACTTTAAGCGGTGTCTTCTTCCACCTGCCACGAGAGATTCACGTGTCCATTTCCTTTTCACCGTGTCTGCGATTAGAAGTAGAAAAAAAAGCAACGTGTCCAAATGGACGCCGAGTGCCGTGGGTTGGCAAGAACTGGAGAACGGGGCATGCCGTAGATGCTAGGAGTTCGCAGGTCTCCGTCAGATGTCCAAACCACTTCCACCTCCACGCCGACCCTCAGGTCAGCCTCCAGGTCAGTCTGCAGCTTAACCTGTCGACTCCAGCTTACTTAGGAGGGGCTTACCAGGCACCACGTGGCCGCGTGTATTTGCAAGGTACTGAGGCGTTCTTGTTTAAGAGTCTACGGTATTTGATAAAAACTGAAAGGCTAGATTTACTTTTTTCTATTTTATTTTGTTGTTGTCTTTTTTAAGATATAAAACTGCCACTTTTTCGAATAAAGCGTCCGATGTAGCCCGGTCCTGCACTCCAACACAATTGCCAAAATGCCAATACTGCAGACGGACACATGCTTTTTCAAAGTCTGACTATGGATCGTCAGAGTGTGGGAGGGTCGCTTCCACACGACGCTGCTCAGGAGTCGCAGCTCCACATCGACCGGAGGGTTTGCAGAAGCCTTGGCTACCCCAAACCATGATATTACAATTTAGCTTCCGTGAGGCAGATTCGATTCATTTGTGCCCGAACGACACCCGGTACAGGTAATTTCGCCGAATTGTTTGGAGAACGGGCTTGTGTTTTTAGTCATTGACGTGGAAACCGAGGCATAGGCTTTCAGACAGGTGGACATGCTTTTGACAAGAAACGTAAAGGTGGTCATAAATGCCCATAGAGATGGCTTTTAGAAAATAAAGACCTAACACTATTGCGTACCAGGAGGTCACCGTTTTTCCAGTGTTGGTGTCAAACATCATCTCATTGTCAAAATCGAACCACGTGAGAAGAAAAATTCATCGTTCCGACACGTTAATCGTTGAGGTTTAGCCTATTCATGAGACCATAAGCTGCCTGCACTTCTAATATTTGTCCAAAACGACTTCTTTACTAGCCAAACAGATGTGTATTTGTTGCAGCCCCTCATGCTTCTGCCTGTTTGCACGTGCAGCTTTTGAAAGTGCTGTTATAAATCATTCTTTCCCGTGTAGTTTGTTTTATTTGAAGCTTTTCTTTTTTTTTTCTCTTGATGTTGTAGAAAGATTGTGAAAGAACAGAGTGGAAATCAAGTTGGACACGAGTTGTTTTTTTTTCAGACGGACTTGAAAACAAAACCTCTATTGTCGATGGCGAAAAGAAAATGAAGGCACAGAAAGAGATCAGGGGTTATTGTAATGATTAGTTTTGCTTTCATTTTTTCTCCAACTACACCGATAAAATTGATAAACATTTCGTCATTAAAAATGACCTGAATGAAGCTATTTTGGACTCTGCGTCTTTTATTTGAATATACTTTATTGATCTCCAGGCAGAAATTGACTTAAATTTGACCAGTTATAAGATGTCTTCAATGTGTTTTTCCTTTTTCTTATAGTTGTAAGCCTTTAGAGCTGTGTGGTTTATTTATACAGTATATAACCTGGGTCTTTTGGGGTCTCACTGATCAGATAAGCAGAACCTCAGAGTAACGACAAATGACATATCATTCATATTATTTATTTTACTGAAGAAAAACTAGGTCACAATGTCCGCTTTTGTTGGTCTTTGGGATAATTTGCCCGTGAGTAGACCCAGTTTCAGTTTAGCTGTCACACAGATCATCTCAGAATGACAAATACAGGAGCCAACTACTTTCCTGATACTGTTTCAGATGTCTTTCCTCCAGCTCCAGACCCATAAACAGGCACAACTCCTGCATTTCCAAAGGTGCTTGGTAATTATAATTTCATTCATCGGGTGCATTCATTCAGAAACACTTGGCCCGGCTTTATTCTCTTAATTGATTTTCATTGGAGTGTTTTGTTATCAGGTCTCACTAAATGGAAGCTTTGAAAGAAAATGGGATTTCTTTTTGCGTGAGTTAGAACTTACTACAAGTAAAGGGGCTTATTTCTCTATGCACTTGCTTTCACACACTGTCACAGTCTTCAGCCTCTTTAAAAAAAAAAAAGAAAAACCCTTTCGGCTGTGGTCCACAACCGCAGAAGCTTTGTGATGTTCGGTGAGTAATGACACTTTGCTGAAACCTTCTCCAACTTGCTAGATATTCTTCTAAGCTCCACGCGACAGCAGGAGGATGTTCAGACGAGCTGAGGGAAGAAAAGGTCGAGTGGATGATCGTGTTTTTTGCGAGAAGCGAATTTTGAAGGTAACTGGACTGCCAAAAAAGTGACAGATATTGTACTCTTAAATGTCAGCTTGCAGCACATCTGAACATTTGAAGGATTTTTTTTTATTATTATGGTTTCCTTGCAGAAACCTATTGCTTTCAACTTGTCCCTGAGAGCTTTGACCCTGTCTTACCTGCATGTTTAAACTAGAGCTCAAAGACCTTTGGGAAAACTCCATGTCATTATTGCTTTTTTTAAACTGCTCAATGGGGTTCTTGAAAACGCCTTAAATGTGTCTCACAGAGGGGAACTGTAAGTATGCGGTTCAAATGCTGAAGGTCTGGATTTCTTTCTGTACTGCTACATTCATTCAGACCTTTTTTCCACAGTCTGACGATGGAATTATACAAAAATAAATGCCAAAACATGGTTTAAACAACTTGAATATAACATTGCAAAAATCCTAACGGATCCTAAACCAGACTATGTATTTCTGTTAGAACTGTCATGTCAATCATCTATCTTACAACACAGTCAAGGCTCTCACTAAAATGTCATGTAGCTAATTCTTTCAATTTTAGCCTTGTAACAAATATCTGATTTTCAAAGTAGCTCCACCCATGTTTGTGAGTGTGTGTGTGTGTGTCCCCTCCCAATCAACCTCCGTCTTCTCTATATGGAACCTCGCGACACCTATTCCCAGCCAATCCTAGAGCTCGGAGACGTGTAGCTCCTCCTCCTGCAGCTGACGGTTACCATGGGTTACAGGGTGGTGGCCGGCTCCATCTCTGTCACTCTGGTGAGGAGACCTAATATGCTGCTGTGTACAAGCCGCAACTTCAATACGTTAGAAAACAACAAAAGAAAGCCTTTTCTGTGACAATATCTCACAAATATGCATTTTAGATGGACAATGAGAACAATAGTGTTTAATAGAAATGTGCTCATGCGGTATCGCGTTCTGTCTCTCTCTAAACAGAAAAAAAAGAAAAGAAAAAAAAAGAAAAAAAACTTTCAAAACAAGAGTACAGACTGAAAGCTGTGTAGAAAAAAACATTACTGAATATAGAGATTGGCAAAAATAACATCAAAATTAGACAAAACGTTTAAAAAAAACTTAAAAAACAACAAAAGATAGTAAACTATTGTTCCAATATCACAGCATTTCTTCCAATATATAACAAAATCCATCTTTGTCACAAAGGACAAGAAAAATTTCTATTCAATTACGTTTATATTTAGCATATTGTTCTTTTTACATGCGTTGCTTCTGCCGCTGTGTTATTGTGTTTATTAAAGCGAAGCAATAAAGAAATAGTTATTTTTTGACAGTGGTAGCGTGAAATGTAAAGGAAAACGGCACACAAAAGGAATGTCAGGGCCAGTCCACTGAATAATAAAGAGTTTGCTCGTCAGGAAGTAGACAGGGCCATCCTCTTGTTCTGTCCAGTCCCTCTTGTCTACCTCCGGAAACATCTCTGGGCAAAGCACTGAACCACAAATGGCCTGGCCGCGAAGTCAGCACCTTCTATGGCATCTGAATGTAACTTGTGTGCAATTGTTTGCATGAACATTGGCTAATAATCCCAATCTAATAAGAGCCGATAAGAGACACACAGACTTTGCTGATCTCGCTGCCTGTCCTACATCTGTTCTGGACGCCAGGGCCGTGCCCTTTCCTGTCCAGAGTCCACTCACAGTCCCCTCCTCCAACTGTTTTATCAGGCCCTTTGCCAACTTTCCTCTTTTAATTATCAAGCACTTTCCCCCCTGTCCCTGCTCTGTGCGGTTGTTTTGTTTTGTGGCACAACGACTCAGTGGAGAAGGGGGTTGTGTGTGGGGGGAGTAAAGTGTCTGGACGCTGTTTGTGTCTTCTGGGCAAAACTCTGTGCTTGTATGTTTCAGAATCCACCTTTGATGTAAGGGGGAATCGGACAGAGAAGACAACCCGCCCACACACGAAACACACAGAAACTGCGTCCTGTGGGAGAGGGAATGGAAGCAGCAAAGCCATTTACAGCTCGCCGTGTTGTTATGGAAACCGGGCCCGTGTGTACTCGGTGCTAAAACGTTTTTCATGGCCTCTTGCGCCGGAAAAGCTTTTTGTCTGTTACGATCCGGGCCAGGCATCAATGGTGCGGCTCGGCGTGGACTCCTGCTGCCTGTTTTCATTGATCACAATGCAGCACCGATCCATTTATACCTCACAGAGAAGCACAGCTCCAACATTTACTTAACTTAAAGAACCCCAATTCATCGGTAACAACGCACCCAATCAGGCCAGTCAGTTTTGGTTGTGATGAGGGTTTGAGTAAGGTTTTTATTCACCTTCAAGGCAATTCAAATGCATTTTAAAGCATTAGTTGCACAACAGTTTGCCATGTTTGCTGCCATGATGTTTGATTTTTCTGGAAGACTGAAAACATATCTGCTATAATGAGATGTAAACGGAATGGGTCCCTCCACAAACCGTCTGTGCAGGGTGGCTAACATCACTCCTCTAAATGACAGCAGAGTGAGCACACCAGATGAATTACTACTCTATGGGCAGAGACTGCAGAAAACACCAGCGTAAGCAGAATTTTGTGGTCTCGATATCAACATCAGAGTAAGAAAGGAAACAATAAGATTTACTGAATGAGGTATAGGTATTGATGTTTTTGGACCGGGAGCTTTTAACCCATGTGAGACTTCCTGGTTTCACTGGTGAGAGTGACCCCAGGAGGGCGCATAGGAGTTGAGTCAAATGAATAAGAAATATATTCATGAATAAAAAATGGGAGCTGTTAGGGGCCGGAGTGTATAGAATAAAGGGGAAGGGGGTCAAAAAGAGGAGGGGGGGAAAAGCATGGACTATTTCTGGTTGCTCTAACCCTTTCATTTGATTTAAAGCTTGATATTTATGTGCTGTGCTAATACCTCTATTCAATTAGTTGATTTGTTATTTTTTGTATTTAATGTCTGGAATATATTTAGAAAAAAACTAAGTTGGAGAATGGAGAAAATGGGTACTGGACTAGACATTCCCCAACAGGAACCTTTTTGGAGAATAATGTACCAAGAAATCCTATCTCCTTTGCATTGTTTGCAGGGAAAACTGTACAAAAAATTGGCATGTTAAAGAGAAGTAATGGACAACACAGTTTAAAGATAAAGTTGTGTCTTATGAACTGTTTCTTATTTGCCAATGTGAATTTTCTCATTATTTCCCTCTCCGGCTGAAGGTTTGTGGCCCCAAATTATAATAACATGGACATTCTGTTTCCGTGCCCGCTGTCACATAAAACTGCGTTTTTAAACACACAGACAGCTTTCAGTCGTTGCAGTCAGGGGTCCGTGATTCAGCATTTTAAAAAGCCGTCCGCTGGATGCTTTATGGCTGCAGGGATCAGCCAGCAGCATCGCTGGATGCTGCGGGCTGATACCAGATCAGATTACCGCGTTTTAACTAAGACGGCAGCATCAGAGGAACCCAACAGCCTTCTGAAGGCTGTTTTATTTTCTGTATCTGGTCTCTCCTGTATCAATAGTCAGTGATCAGATCGATTGGAAATGTCTAAGGCATTTGGACCAGGAAAAAATATATAAATAGAAAAAAAAAACCCTACCTCACCACATCTAGTTAGTTATTTGGTTCACATGACTTGTTCCTTTGTTATATTTCTGCTCAAAGCTGGTACTGATGTGTGTGTGTGTGTTTGTGGGGGGGGGGGGGGGGGGTAATATCTCTGTTGGGGGATCATATACATTTTGTTTTATGTTACAAGTATAACTATTCAGCATATTGCTTGTTTATTGACTGGTGGGATGTTGTTTGTGGTGACAATATAATGTTAGAATAAAGTTGTTAAAACTTATGAACCCCTATTTTTCCATATAAAGGATGCTTTGATAAATTTGATGTGGAAAAAAATATTGATTTGGAACCATTTTTAACCACGGAATAGGATGTTTGATTGTGGTTATTAAATGTACATGTCAAGAAATGTGACATTTTGTGATGTTGGGTGTAGTTCACGTGCATTCTGCAGCTGAAACTATAATGGAATGTAAAAGTAAACTGGGTGTGACGCACTTTGAAGGTGTGTGCGCGCGCGTGGGTGTGGTGCTGAAGGGACAGCGCCGGTCATTGTTGGGACTGGGTGTGACTCCGGGGAACTCTCCTTGGTGCTGATCGGTTCTGAAACTCTACAGTAGACAGAGACGCCCCCCCCCCCACGGAAAAAAAACATCCTCCCAGTGCGCTAGACGGAGCTTTAGGGTGGACAAGTCCCCAGCTTGGAGCCATCAGCTTACTCACTCCCTATAACCCCCCCCCCCCCAAACCCACCCACCCACCCACCCACCACCCATCTTTGGAAAATATTCTCATTGGACCTTCTTTCTTCTTGTGGGTCTCCTCCTTATATGCTGACTTATAACTCGCGCATGGATATAGGTTTGTTGAGACACATGAGTAAGCATTTAAAAACTGTTGACGCGTAACTGGAGGATTTTTTTCCCTCATACTGAAGCTTTGCCCCTGTTACCAGCCTGGTGCATTCGGGACTGTATTTTAAGCAGCATTGGCACCCCCATACAGATTGTTTCCCCCCCTTTTTGTTTTGTCACAGTGCGACCACCTGCTCGTTTCGTGGAAAACCCCCGGTCGGTCAAGGCGGTGGCTGACAGAGAAAGGGAGAAAAGACGAGCCCAAGTAGAAGCTGCGGAAAAAACCCCCACAACCCCCGAGAATCCTCACTCGCAGGCATGTCAACCGCCGGGGAAGTGCCAGGCTTCTTCCAGGGCATGGGCTCCGACAGCCCCGGCAGGCCCAGGCAGAAATTCTGCGGGATGTTCTGCCCGGTGGAGGGATCCGCGGACGGCAAGACTCTGGACCTGGACGCGCTCTCGGCGTGCAGAGGCAGGAGCGCAGGGCGAGTCATTGACCGGCAGACCGACATCTCCCAGCCCAAGAAGGTGGAGATAAGGGAGAGCACGGGGAAAGAGGCTCTCCAGAACCTCGGTGACAACCAGGTAACGATTTCTTTTGATTTTGCACGCAGATATTTGATGAAGAACTTCAATTTCCTAATCCGCCTTTTTTTTTTTTTAAATGCTTTTTTCGGCCACACATACTATCATTTCTCCCTAATCCCACATTAAATTATTTGCACAGACAGATGTCATCTTAGTTCAAAGGTGTTATCAGTTGCAGCTGCTAAATTGAGTCGATTTAAGATTACCCAGCCCCCTGGTAAACCAGACAACTTGGCGTGACTACATTTCCCAGAAAGCCCAGCGACGCAACAGCGCAGACAGAAAGCCCACGGTGCAGGGTAGCCAGAGGGAGTGGCTCTGTTAGCCAAAGCTCATGATGTTTGGTTTGAGCTTTTTTCTGCTCAACAGTCCATTGACAGAAGGCGAGGCCAAAGCTATTGGCGTGACAAAGAGAAAGCAAAAAAAAAAAGACAGTTATGTGTCACGGAACTGAGAGGGCAATAAATGAGCTAGGCACACATGTGAACACACAACATCAGATGCTAACAGGACAGTTAGATTGTTGCACCTTGTACTTCTGAGCTTCTCTGCTCCTCGGGCTGAGGCCGGCAGACAGAGGATGCCATGACTTGCAGGATTCATTGTTCGGTGGCCGGCCATGGCATCACACATCACTACACTCTTTATTTGAAATTCAAGCTCTCCAGATTATGTTCAAAGCTTGTGGTTTTGTCCAGCTCCTTAATCGTGTTACATATTGACCAGTTACATCATCCACACCATCTCCTCTTTCCTCTCTGACTTCTTAAATTCAGTTGCTCTTCTAAAGTCTGATACAAAATGTACAAATCTTGTTTGATAATTATATCAATACACAATAATGATATTAGTAGAATGTTATATGTCTGGGAAAATGTGATTTGACCAGATTACACAGCCGAGACCAAAGTAGAATTGCTCAAGTAATATTTGAGGTTTATGAGGTAAGACTTGCCATACTTTGCATACTCAACATTCTAACACAATTCTACATATTATTTCTCTCTTGATTTGGTTGAGCCGCTCTTCCCATTTGGTATATTTAGTGTTCTGTGTTGTTTTTGCTGTTTTTATAGAAGTATGATATTATCTACTTTCCTGATGAATGTTTGACAAAGAACAACAAGTGTAAATAGTTTGGCTGCACCATAGTGATCAGTGTCAAAGTCTTAATGAATACCACTGATTGCTGGTTTGTATTTCAGCTTTGTTACCTTGGAATTTCCATGTTCTGATTTCTTTTGGAAAAATTCTGCCTTTCAATATCAAAAATTTAAATCTTGGTTTCCTAATTTGAAGTCGATGTTTCAGATGTTGATTTATTACAAACTCAAATGTTTATAAAAGAAAAAAAATCACGATTCTGAACACTTTGAGGAGCTAAGTTAAACCAAATCTTCTATTGATAATAATGGGAAATGTAAGATTTTCACCCAAAAAATGGACAAGCTTGGATCTTGGTCAGGGATGTGGAAGGGCTGTTGGATTTCATGGTAAAAGAATGAAAACATGACAGACAGAAATGACAAAAAGGACTGAAAATATATCTACATCTCTATCTCTATTTACTCTAAGTATCTGCAAAATAAGAATGGGTTGGTGTTGGGATTTATCCCTTATAAATGGAATAAAAAGGTTATGACAAATTCTCTCATAAATCTGACTTTGCATCTAAAAACACTGACTTTGCATGTAAAATGTCTAACTCAGTATTTAAATGCTGATGTAGCAACCTGGAAGTTGAATTTGCAATACTATACTAAATCTTAAAGGCTGGGATAAATCCAGATTTTGGGATACAAAATGTTGAAATCCTGTGCCAGAATTTGAATTTTCTGTTTTTGTTATAATCACAATGGTGGACACAGTTTTTGATGCTGGATTCATTATGAATTTAAAATAAGGGCTGTTGAGACCACTGGTGACGTTTTCAAGTACACAACTTAAACTTTTTCATCTTTATCAATAAATAAAAATGTATTTTAAAAAATCCCTAAATGAACAAAAAAACGGAAGTCTCTCTCTGAGAACAAAACATTCTTAGTTTTGTTCCAGTTAGTTTGGTTCCACTTATTGGATTGTGCGCAAACAATATATGTGCACAATCACAACTTTAAAGGGCAGCAAACATATTTTGCAGTGGGTTGCATTAAGTTTGAGGGCATTTCCACCCTGAGCAGAACTCATCTCTGGCCTTTAAACGTGTCCATCAACCCAATTAGTTTTATTTGATGTCAAAATCATATCAACTCGTGGCTTCCCAGCAGTGTTTTGCATCTTGTCACGTGTTGGAGTTATCTTTTGACAGTGAAAGTAGCTGGTACCCACTTTAAACCCATTTCCCCAAACCCCAGAAGGGATTTCATCTTGCAGGTATACTGTCAGAGCTCTTCCTTGCCTGAAAAAAAAAAGAAATCCCCACTCTGAGTGAGCTGAGTTAAGATGGCTGCTGGGTGTTTCTTCGTGAGGGAGTTTTGCGGGCGGCACTCCATGACTTCCCCCTAATCCATGAGAGCAATTGATGGCATTAGTGCCTCTCTCCTGTCAATGGAGCAGGGGCGAGGCTCTGCGCATGCTCCGTGGGGCTCTTTTCACGGAGGAAGAGGCTCTTGTAGCGGTCCCTCCCTCTCCCTCTTGTCTGACTCCGTCTGGGAAAGGAACGGCTTGGCGCATCGGCGGAGACCGGAGGAGGCTGTCAGGGGCAAAGCGACGCGAAGTTTACAGATAAGTTTGGATTGCTGACGTTTTTTTGCGGCCTCCCGAGGATCAGCAGCGAGCCACTTGGTCCCTCCCTTCCTCCCGGTTGTCCCCCCCATCGAATCAGAACAGGCAGTAGACCCGCACACATCCTGCGTTTGATAGCGGTCCAGGGCGCTAAAAACCCACCGGCGAAAGATGTCTGGCTACCAGGGCAAAAAGAACATCCCCCGCATCACAGTGAGTGCACGGCTCTTAGAGGGGAGTTGGGAGGAGAGGGAGGGGGGTGAGATCCAGCGTGCGGTCCGGTGTCGGGCCCTGTGGGTGTGGATGCAGGATGTCACCGTGCGTTTTGCGGTCCGCTGCAAAAAAATCGGAGCAGAAATCCGCAACCGGGTGCGCTCCCAAAAGCTCTCTCTCTTTCTCTCTATTCAAGTTTTTATCAACCACATCTCATTTTTTCCAGGGACTGGGGCCGCCGATGAATCGGAAAGGCCACTCAGAGACTGGTGTGGCCGATAATAAGCGCTCTCTCTCTCTATTTTTTTATTTATTATTATCGCGTCTCTGCGACAAGTGCTCGCGTCTGGATAAACCTTAATCGGCGTTCGTCGGGATGCGTGTTTCTGCACCCCCCCCCTCTCAGATCCACTCCCCAAGCCCCATTTTTCCGTGTCTGTGGTATGCGTGACAGTTGAGATTTCACGCCGCTGCTCTTTGTTAGGGCGCTGTGTGCGCCAGGCGTCCCGGGTATCGCTGCACAGCAACTGCTGGAGCAAATGGCTTTTCTCCTGCATCCGCCGCGAGCTTTCCACAGAAGCCGGGGCCGGGCTGGGCTTTTTTTTTTTTACCCCCCCCCCCCCTCTTCCCTACGCAAATTAGTTTGAACGCATTCTCGTGCGCTCGAATCCATCAGCCCGTGTGTGCCACTGCGGGGTCGATTCGGTGCCTGAATTCATTACGGAGGGCCGCAGCGATGGAGTCGGTTCAATGGAAAGTAGAGAACAGGGAGGGGAAGGGAGGGGGGCAGAGAAAAGGGAGGGAGGAGGGGGGGGGGGGCGGTGGGTCCTATTTCCTTTCGTGTTTTTCTTTCAGCTGTGTAATGAGGAGAGGATGCCGATTGGGAGGAAGGTCACTCTCGGTGGCAATGGAGGGTAGTAACTACAAGAATGGCACAGATCTGTTCCCAAAAAATGCTGACGTCAGGGTCAGGATCAGGATCGAGTTGGGGTTTGGTGGAGAGGGTCCTTGACAGGATGGAGGGCATAATCCACGTCATCCTGGTCCTCCTTTGCATCTTAGTTGACGCAACCACAGAAGTGTGTATTTGATTTATCTGTATTTAAAGTGGATAGCAGGTCAGAAAAGAATGCGATCAGGTGGTGGAGGTTGTCATGGCAATGTCCCAAATTGAATTTAGTTCCTTGCAAATGTTGGCAAAGTTGGCTGCATGGATAAAAATCTTTAACAGGTAAGATAACTGTAGTTATTTGATAAAATGTGCAAACATAAGTGGAAATACAGTCTGCAGTGTTAAAGAGAGTCAGTATTTTTTGGAATGAGCACCCTCATACTTGTGTCTGAACCCTCATTTCTTCGAGGGATCAGTGTCCAGCCTTCTTGGAGGGCATCACAATGTTGTCATTTGGATGTTAGCTCCCTTTTTTTTTTTTTCTGTCCCCTGCCAAAATGATCCTCACTGCTTCAATAATGTTGACGCCTGGGCTCTGAGGGGGACTAGTCCCTCCATCAGACCTGTTAGCAAGTTTTTCAGTACAAATCTGTCAGTTGGCATACCTCACACTTTTTATTTTACTCCATTACCCTTTCTTAAGAATGATTTCTTTAGTACAACCCTTCATAAAGATAGTTTATTAGACAAACTGTGCATCGTCACGACTTCTGCTGAGCTCTCAGCAAAAGTTATTATCACATTCTTGCTACAAAAGAGCTTTTTTTTGTTGATATGTCTTATTTTTACCATTTCATGTGATGATACTTAAGACATACGGACAAAATATGTTTTTAATGTCTTTTTTTAAAGGCTGCTAACAAAGTGACCAAAATACCCTTTTAAATCAGTTTGAAAAACATGTTCATCCTTTTAGAAAGGTAGCTTTTTGAATATTTACGGACGGATCAGCATAAAGCAGTCTTAAGCCACAGAGATGCAGACACACACCAAAACAAAAAGTATTTTCCTGTAAAAAAAAGAAGTGATGTAAAGGATTGGACTGAAATGTAACACCGTTCAAGAAAAATTTAAAATGTAAGTCTGGTGGATTGCAAACCACTAAGAAAACATAAAGAAATGAGGGTTGGACCTTGACTTTTGCTTTGTATTGTATAGCTAAAACGTATAAAAACATGAAAACAGGTGTAGTTATAACAATGACATCTATGAGAATGTAGTCATATGTCGAAAACTACTGGAACAATAATGTTATTTGAAAGAAATTCCATTCTGGTTTATGAATATTTTGAGTGTTTTAGAACCTGAAACGTTTAGCTCTTCTGTGTGCGTCAGATTTGAGTGATGGACCAAGCTCACACGCACGTTTCTGATAATATAATCGTTGGCATTTTTAACCGTGTGATTTTCCTTCGCTCTCCATCAAGTGCTCTAGGAGCGGCAGCTGGTTGGTGGAGAGATAAGAGGATTAGTGGGTGTGGTAGTGAGTCCTAAATGGATAGACTGCTTCTTCCTGAGCAGTGCATGAAAGCAAATGTGGGTCAGAGACAGAAATTATTCTTCTAAAATGCTGCACATCTCCTCGGTGCGCTGGTTGGCTGGCCTCTGTGCTCATTCTTGTCAGGAAAGAAACCCTTAAATGCGCCGGTCACCTCACAGATTTCAGAGTTTTCTCCTAAGTCCCTGCATGCTTTGGCTAACAAAGCTCACAGGGTCTGAGGAACAGATGAGCTTCTTAAACAGACTTAGAAGAGGAAACGAGCCTCAAATTGAATCAAATCTAGACAGAAAAAAGGTCAGAGCGGAGACAAACGAGCTCCGGGGATGGACACACCTTTTAGCACACGCCTTCCAAAAGCTCAAGTTGCAAGTTACGATGAATTTTAAACGTTAAATCTTTTTTATTTTTTACTCACGTCCCAATCTGTATGGGTGGAGTGCTAGTGTGTGCAGAGCCAGCAGACGGAGTCCAGTCAGCTGGGGCGGGCAGATCTCATTAAATATGAATAAACCTCTGCAGGTCCACCACCTGGAACTGGGGCTTGTTTGTGACCACAGATTTTTTGCCACTGAGCCCTCAGAGCAGAGTTCAGAGGCTCGCCAGCATAATGCCGGATTGTTTACAGTGTCCCTAAAGTGACATTTGATAAGGTTAGATAAGTGATCATTGAATCAGAATTGACTGCCATTATATTAGTTCAAATTTAAACCTATTCTATTCCTGTTTATTTGATCTGATTATTCTTTTTCAATAAAGAACAGCCTAATTAAACCTTTTTTTGCTCGAAACAAAGGATATTAATGGAAAAAAAAGAAGAAAAAAGCTTGTTTTGGGGATCCGAAGGCCCTCTAGTGAAGCTGAGGTCAGCTAAAAATAGATCCATTTTAACGTAAGACTGCTCTGGATTAGCCTGTCTGTGGCCACAATCCCCTGCATGTCATCGGCCAGTCGGCCGGTTTACCTCCAGCACAGCAGTGGTCTCTGGTGACCGCTCAGTTCGTGTGCAGGGACCGGCCGATGCAGCCTGCTATGCTGTTGTTTCACAGTGCGGGGCGGCCCCGGGGAGCCGGTTATTCTCCGTGTCTCGCACAGCAGCTCCGCCTCTCTCTCTCTCTTTTATTTTTGACACAGAATTACTCTAAACTCCCCCATTCATAAGGCCAGAAGTCGGAGGAAATATGTACACTGACTCAATTGTAATCAGCCTCTGAATGGAGACAGGGTCCTGTTAAGTAACATAGGCAAAGGGCCTTTGGCTGCTTTGTGTCCTCAATAGTGGGTATTTTCAGAGGATAATCTAGAAATTAAATGAAGGACTGCGTAGTATGTGTGCTTTTAAATTGATGAAATTACAATTAAATATGCCCATAAATCATGGGTTTAGCCTCATATGGGATAGCAAAAGAGAAACCTCACAGAAATTATTTGAATAGCACAAGAATCATCTATTTATTGAGGAAGAGAGACTTTTTCCGCTTTTTCTGCAGGAAAAATCGAATCAAATGAATCGGAATCAAAGAGAATCTTTTGGAGAGCTATTTTAAAAAGCAACGTCTGCTTTGAGTTAAAAGCCTCTAACTTATTCTTTTTTTCTCTGATGCAACACCTCCATCCAAAACCCCAAGTTTCTTTCCCTCAGTTTGTGTGCAAGATCAATCTGAATTTGTGTTGCCAAGGCGTAAAGTTACGTCTGGCTGTCAGGTGATTGGCTTTTTCCCCTCCTTCTTTTCATACCACCAAAACCTAGACATGGTTTTCGGTGGTGTGAACACTTGTTGCCCAATTCGGGACACCCGTAAATCACAGTGCTGACTGTGCGACCTGGCAACATTCACCACCTGACTTCACAAATGTTCCCGGGATATTTTCCATTTGCACAACAACACACGACGTTGCCGGGTTACTTCTGACTCTAGCAGACATTTGCTCTGCTCCCAAGGTGATTAAGTCAGTTTTCTTTTTAAATATGAAGTTACTTTTTACAATCTTTCATTTTGTTTCAAATATTTTATAAGTTTAGGAGTCATAGTTATAATTGAATGTTACATTCACAGTGATGAACACTGAGCATTTGAGCATCTCGTTGTTTTTGTTTGCAGCTTTCAGCTGCTATTGTAACATTTCAGAGTCTCCCTTGTGTGACTAAACATTTACCCACTATGGTTCAAAAGACGGAAGGGTTACTGCACTTTTGTGGTCGCACCATTCCCGCTGCCTAAAAGGAATAATGACAAACCCATAACCCATGACTCAAACCAAAAAAAACAAACAAAAAAAACAACCTTATTTTTGGGTCTGTTCATTCTGATAATATTACCTTATTTCAGAAATGTCTTGTCTAGAAAAAAAATAATACATTTGACCCAAAAGCTCTAACAGACTCAACTGAATTGATTTATACTTTATCAAACCCTTAGGTTAAAGGAATCAACAGCATTCCATCCTCGTTGACTTTCCCGCTCTGTCTGTAGTCTGTCTGTCTGCTTGCGTTTGTAAAATCGGCTACGGATATGTTCGAGTTTCGAATATGCTTTCTTGAAACAGGACACTGTGTTCGCGACATTCCTGCTGTGTCTATATTATTTGCCAGTGACCTCATGTTCCCCGCGCTGATTAAAGGAAGAAAAAGATTTTTCCTTTTCGGCCCGTCCGAATCTTGAGTTGTGATTGTAAGCAATTTTCCCTCTGGCATGGTTACACAAATGTAACACAAACAGACAGTCAACAGGACCAACAGCACAACATCCATGCAGGCCTAGCAATATATTTTCGTTCATTTAAATTCAGAAAATTAAAAAAGTTTCAAGAGGTGGAAGGTGGCCATTTTGTCATATTTTGTGTTGTTTTACAGGCAAAACCTTTGGCTTGTGTCATCTGTTGCTCCAAAGCCCACATTATCAGAATAACTTGGATTATTTTTGCCAAGAAACAAGGTTATAGTAATGGAAATTAAAAATCAGAAAGGGAACTTCTTGTCTCGATTGAATTTCTAACAGTCAAACATTGGGCCGAAAGCTTTTGAACTCCAGCTTTTCCTCAGTTAAAACAAATTTGTACAGTGGAACAGTATCACTGATTTTACACATTTGCAGTCTGGAATGGAAACAATGAACCCATTGAGCTTCGTCCACTTCCTGTTTGTGAACTCTTGGGAGAGATTCCCATGAAAGAGAGGTCACTGTCATGTTTGGCGCTCATCCAGAAAACCCCAGACACTCTGTCCAACATCCAATTACATTATTTCAGAAACGCAGGCGGAGCCTCAACCTCTTGTGTATTAGAGATTATTTCCAAATTCAAACCCATCACGCAAATCAAAACAGTGGGGATTCATTCTGGAAAACACACCGATATGAGTTTGGAGTGTCTTTGCTAACTTGGGTGACTTATTGGATAATGACAGTCGTGATGGTGCACATTATGTAACGGCCTATTTCAAAACAGCTGTGGGGATGAAGTCATGCCAAAAGTGGGCTGGAGAGAAGCTCCTTGATACGGCGGAGTGGTTCGCACCACACGGCTAAAAGATTGCTACACGATCTATTTGCATGAGCCACGCCTTTCAGAAGACAACTGTGAAGCGTTTTTTTCTTGGCCAGCTGAAGTGTTTTTTGCGTTGTGAGATTCTTCACTCTATATTTAGAACGGCTTTAGTGTTTGAAGCTTCAAAAGGAATCGCTTTATTGAAGTCTCATCTGGATTCGGAGACAGCTGCTCGTGAAACCAAAGAATATTCTCCAAATATGCCATAGGAAACGGAGCTGAAGATTCCAAATTTAAGAATGGAAAATCTATGAGGGCAAAAATGTTAACTTAGAGGATTTGTTATGTCATGAGCCACTAATAGTTATAGGTAAAGTGTTGTTTTTTTTAGGTGTCCCTCTTCTAAAATCAAGTATTTAACCTTTTAATTTAGTCGATAACGTATTTTTAACACATTTCATGATACATTATAAGTAAAAACCTGTTTTCCGAAGACAAAATAGCACTAGCAAAGAGGAGTAAGCACTTGGTATGTTTTACTCTTGTTGAGAAGATGTTACCGTATCATTTTATATGACTGTGATTGCATGAAGCCATATTCCATAGGCCTTTGTTTCCTAACAAACGATTTCAGGAATGAATGCAATTTTTCGTTTATCTGGAATCATGTCAGAATGACCGTAAAATACAAGAGAGGATATCATCCGTGGTTAGAATTTGAAGGACGAAGATAAGAAAGGGAATTGCCAGGCCTGGTCATAGTGAGCGTCAGCTAGTGTTCTGTAAAGTGAGGCATTACAGAAGTTAACACATTCACAGATCCTCTTTTGAATCGAGCACTGTGCGTCTTTAAGACTATGACAGTTTGGAGAGAGCGTTGTGTTTGAATGCGTCCCAAAAAAATGTCTGGAAATCGGACAATTTGAGTGTTTTCGAGGCGTCGGAGGTGCAGCGGTCGTTGCTCGGGCCAGTCCCGCTGACCGGGCAGCAGCCAGTGGCAGGAGCTCCAACAGAGCCGCCTTTGTTAGCTGTTGATGCTGGAGCTCTTGTGACCAGAGCTGCCACTCCCTTTTTGGAGAGATGTGAGCGGGCCCCCTGGGTAACTAACTGGGAGAGAGACCGGGGAGGGAGTTGGAGGGAGTGGGAGGTGTTGTGTGTGTGGGGATTGTGGAGGTGGTTAGACTCCCCCCTCCTTATTCCTCGCCTATTCCTCCTCCTCTCCCCTGAACAGTGACAATCGGTGCGGGCTTTGGGTGATTGATCACATGCTCTTTTCCCTCACTCTGGTGTGTCACTGCGACAAACTGACCACATGAAAAGTAAAGACGGGTGTGCCTGAAGGCGGGCTGCTGTCTTTTTCTGCGAACCTTGTTGTTTAAGCAGAGCAGAATTGATTAAATTTAATCTGAATAAAGCAATGGTGATTGTTGTTGAAGACTTTTGTTATGTTTGGAGTGAATTTTGATCCTAATTCTAAATAAAAACTTTAATTTCCCTTGCTTCTCTTCTCTTATTCCCCTATTCCATCTTAAACTCACACCTTTTTTAAAGCTTTTTTTTGTTGCTGTATTTCCTGCATTGCACTTTGAACAGCCACTAGAAACTTGGTGCCATTCCAACGTACATTTCTGTTTCTTTGCTTTTTCTGTTCCAGCCCTGTATTAGAGTATTAAGAGTGTATGCACTGTGTTTATAGTAATCCCTGTGCGTGTACGTGCGTTAGCAGAAAGAGAGCCCATATTAGCTAAAAAAGGCATCACACGACCCTGTGGTCTTTATCATGAAAAGACAAAACCATGTAAATATGGCGGTTTTTCAGAGGTTGTTTTGTTATGAGTGCCAATCCACTCTTTTATGTGGCATTTCCCAAAATGTTTTCCATTAAATGCCCTTAATCCAGCACCCACTAAAGCCAAATCGGATACTCAACCTCATAAGTGTCTATTTATGGGGGTCTATAAAATCTCAAAACCCAACGTAGCCCTCTCTTACCCAGCCTTTAGCTGCAGTGAATTAAAAAAGAAGGCCGATTTTAATCAGGAACAGCTTCAGTAACAATCTCCATTTGCTTTCCAGAGTGACCGTCTCCTGATCAAAGGAGGAAAGATTGTGAACGATGACCAGTCCTTCTGCGCTGACATCTATATGGAGGATGGAGTCATTAAGTGAGTTTATTGCTTTTACTTTAGGCAGCTTGCCTCTTTGCTATTCTTTGATGCAAAAATATCGAAAGAAAAAAAAGGTGGAAATCACTTAGTATAGTCTGTAATGGCGGATTTACACTGGTTAGGCTGAATGAGCACTAATGGAAAAACGCCATAAGTGGTCAGTCTAATGGATTTTTTGGGTTTCTCTCTATGCTATTGACCCTTCCTACAGGTGCCACGAGAAACGGTTTCATATAGCACTATCATTTAAACCGAAATATATCAAATTAAGCCTTTTTTTTTGGTCTGTCTTCTCAGACAAATTGGAGAGAACCTCATTGTTCCCGGGGGGGTGAAAACCATCGATGCCCACGGTCGCATGTTGATGCCGGGCGGCATCGACGTGCACACGCGCTTCCAGATGCCGGACCGGGGCATGACGTCTGCGGATGACTTCTACCAGGGGACCAAGGCGGCGCTGGCCGGCGGCACCACCATGATCAGTAAGTCTTTTGAAGGCGGGGAAAAATCTGAATCAGAATCCGAAATCCTTTAATAATCCCAGAGGGAAATTATTGAATGAAAATGATTATTATTAATGCTAATTATTTAATGAAAATGCTCTTTTCGGTCAATTTTGGTGACCCAAAACTCGTGTGTGAGGTAAAACGTTAGTTTAGTGTTCGAGTGGAACCATTCAGAGATCCATGTTTGCACTTCAATCACCGATTGGCTCAAATAGGAAGTTTTCCAAAGAGGGCGGGACAGATCCCGTCTGGTTTCATTAGCCACTTTGTGGTCATACCGAGGGAGGGAGGAAACCTGAGTTTCCTCGCGGTTGGAGTAGATTTGTTTCCTCAGTTTTTCTAAAGGCCGTTAACCTCTCAGGTTTTATGTATGTGTGAATGTATGTGAGATTTCATCAGGTTTAAACTCCGATCCCTCTTTTTTTTATAGCTCTTCTGGGCTATGCCAAGTAAAACATCCAGTTTCGTCCTTTGCTTGCATTACAATAATTGATTATTAAAGTATACCTTAAAAAATGATGTGCTAAGGGGTGTCATTGCCTCATATATATATATAAAAATTCTTGATTTCAGCTGAAAAATACTCTATTACTATACTGTAATTATATACATACATAGCCTTATATACAAATATAATGTTAGATTCAGAACAATGTTTGAGTATTCCGTTCTGATCAAAATTCAGCCAATGCATTCTTTAAATGTTAACTTGTATTTTTATGAAAATACGAAACTATAAGGATTAAAAAGGAAAATTAATGGAAAACAAATCCCACTGAAAACCTCCCTTCCGAATGCCACACGGAGCCTCCTCCGGCTAATTCAGCCCCCACACTGCCCTCACCCCGGTTGCAAAACAAACTCCTCCTGCGTGCCACTGCAGCTCCAGGCTAAAAAGCTGTCTGGCCCGCCGCAGATCTCGCCAGAGTCAGACAGGTCTGGAACTTGGGCGTAATGCACCCGAATGACTGGTGCCATTTCACAGGCCATACAGGGACAAATTTTTAAAAATAATTACATTACGCACTGAAGTCTGTCTGGTCCAGGCTTAATGAAATTGAGCTGAATCTACAGTGAACATAAAGACAGAGTTGTAATCACTCACGGAGAGACAGAATTATGTCGTGTGGTATGAATTTTTGCAGAATACGTAATTTCGTGGTATATTTCCCCTCCTAGCAGTGACATTTGGAACATGTTTGGCTGCCAACTTTGGATTGCATTTGTCCTTTTGGTAAATCCAAGTAAAATATTCTTGTTTAGATCACTGTTTGAGTTTGCGTCCGACCGCGTCTGTGTATTCTTTTGTTGCATCCAGTCGACCACGTGGTCCCTGAGCCTGGCATCAGCCTCATCTCAGCCTTTGAGCAGTGGCGGGAATGGGCCGACAGCAAGTCCTGCTGCGACTATTCGCTGCATATGGACATCACTGAATGGCACAAGGGAATCCAGGAAGAAATGGAGGCACTGGTGAAAGATCATGGTAGGAACAACTCAAAGTCCCTCTTGATTTCTCTGTATTCATTTAGGACTCTTGATTTGTTTTCATTTGTGTGAGACTTTTAAAAGAATTTGAAAAACATATTATGAGCTCGGTCCTATACTGGCTACAGAAAATAACCCAATGTATGTTCATGTTCTTATTAAACAGAGAGCAAAATAGTAATTAAGTAATTCTTGTAAAGACAGAAGCTAAACAGAAGTCTGCTTTACTCCGATAGGACAGCTCTTAGGGCTGGACAAGGCCACGCCCACCCCTCCTCTTCGGTTTCCAAGTATCTTGTTTGAGATTAAGTTTAAGAAAATATCTTTGAGTGTTTCAATATATGTGTGTTTCATTAGCAGCTGAGCTAGATAAGAGCACACAAAATGTTTCACAAATGCCTTTTCCGGATTTTTTAAAGCACTGAACTCACCATGGAAGGATATAGACTTTCATTAAAACTTAATCATATCTGACATTTACTTAATACAACATTCTCGAAACAATGATTATATATATATATATGATTATGAATGTAATAATCTTATTTTTTGTCTCACAGGTGTCAACTCTTTCCTGGCTTACTTGGCTTACAAAGATATTTTTCAGCTAACCGATGCTCAGGTCAGCCTCATTCTACTTCCTAAAGCCATTTTTAGATCCTCTGAAAGTACAGCGACTTTCTAATAATGAACTAATGAATCTCCTTGCCGTGTTGCAGTCTTTATAAACAGCTAATATACATTGTTTCAAAATGGGAAAATACTCATTACGTCTTTCATTAAACTGGAAATATTTGTGGTGGGGGTTTTTTTTACCACCATATGATGCATGGAGACCAGCAACCTGTGATAAAGCTTTTCACCATAACGTCATAAAAACCCCACTATCAGTCTTTATTTCGGGCACTGCACTCGAACGCAGCGTGAGTTACAGTGCGAGTCTGTTTGTCTTGGCCAGGCTTTGTCTCATGCTGATAGTCTGAGCGTTCCTCCTGAAACAGAGAGGTATAATGAAAGCCACATCTTGTTGCACATTTCGCTCTGACTCATGGTTCAAATGAATTAATCCCACTTGAAAGCAGCTTTGAAACAGTGTTGGTCTTTGCACCTGCACGAGGAATGCTGGCAGCGTGGTGCAGTCTTACGTTAATAATTTTCTTTCCCATGTCAAAACCGGATGGCTCTTTACAGTTGCATGTTTAGCAGCTAGGGCTGACTCATGGGACAAATAATCCGACTACAGGAGGCTTTCTTGTTGCAAAAACAACAGCCTGGTTTCTCTTTTATGATACAAATGTCATGACTTTTTGCAGCTAAACAATGACCTGATTTCCAAAAGGCATAGAGAGGACACATTTCTTTTATAGTTCATGCTAGATCATGTTTTCTTATTCCCTATTCTGACCGTTTGGCACAAAACGCTGCCTTTAAATGCTTTTTATAGCTTAAAGTCTTCCTTTTTTATGTTCTTATTTGGATATCCATCCACTTGGAAAAAGTCAGACATCTACTTCCCTGAGATGTTTTGTTCTCTTGCATGCAGTTAAGTTAGTTTACAGATTTCTGAGAGACTGTATGAACCAGAATTTATTTAGATGTTTTTGAAATGCAGTTTATCGGCCATCTTCTTTTCATTTTCAGCTTTTAAGCTTTGAAGAAAATGTACTTTCAGTGTTCCAAGTGTCATACATGTGACAATTTTCAGCCGTTCTTCTCTTAGTTTGTCTCGGAAAAATTGTTGTCTGTATTGACGGGAATAACCATGACCGCGTCTCTGTCTTTGAAACAGCTGTATGAGGTGTTCAGTGTCATCCGCGATCTCGGAGCCATTGCCCAGGTTCACGCTGAGAATGGGGACATCGTAGCTGAGGTACACCATGTTATACCAAAGTGAGATACCACCTAGAAATAAGCAAGACTAACATTTCCTGAGCTAAAATCAGCTTTAGACGGAACAGCCCTGAGCGTGTCAAGGTGCTGCTTGACGCCAGAACATCAAGCAAAAAGGCCTCAATGCCTCATTTTCCCCTCAGTTCTTCACCCTTTAAAGCCTGATCTAAGAAAAATAGGAAGAATATTGGATTTTTTTAGTCTGAAGTCTTTCTTTGGCCCCTCAACAACATATGAAGAAAGAAAACGAATTATTTTGATCAAATTAGCGTGCAATAAGTCAAAAATATATTTTCGTGTAGTCTTCTACTGGCTGTTGTCAGGTATATCTGAATGTGTACAACAGGGGTTTGAGCAAAGCTTTTACCATTGAATGATGCAAAAAGTCTCAGATCCAAAAGACTTCAGAAACCGTATGAATCAAATATGACACATTTGGCATTATAGGGTTAATAGTCAACAGACGAGGATATATAAATATTCATGAGGCTTCTAGTTTTCTGTGCCAGTACTGTTCATGAGAAGCATGTGAGCACCTGTAGATGACTCAACGTTACACGTTTCCCATTGTGGGCTGTTTGTTTGCGCTCTTTCTAGGAGCAGCGCCGGATGCTGGAGCAGGGGATCACTGGGCCAGAAGGACACGTGTTGAGCCGTCCTGAGGAGGTAAGAAGTGGATACCGACTGACACCTCTAAACACAGGGTGAAGTATTCTTTTTACTTTCACGTGCAAGGGATCAGATCCTTTCCAGCTCAGATTTGCTGTTGTCGTTTGTCTGTAAAGGGGATATGGCCTTACCAGCTTTCTCAGATCTTGATCGTTGACAGTTTTATATTGAACCTGTGTGCTTTATATTGAACCATATTCCTTCCCTTGAACCATAAAAGATAAAAGCACATCCTTCAGATCTGAATGAATTACTGGCAAACATGGACAATCAGTAGAGTATGCGGTTTTATTTCGAGACGTCTATTTTAAGGATAGCATGCCTTTTCCGTGCCTTTTTAAAACTTTCCACTTAGCGGAAATGGGAATGGGAAGGACAAAGTTCTTGTGCTAATGTTCCAGTTCCTCAGGCCAATCAAACCTTGATTGTGATAAATTGTGTTAATTTGATGATTTCATCTAAAGCTAAAGAGGACGCTCTGGAAAAACAGAGAAGCAAAGAGTAAACTCATTCTCTCCATCTGGAACATATTGCCATTTTGCGTTTCAAAAATTCCAATTTAGCTTTTTTTTCTCTATGCAATGGATGGAGAACACATTTCAGATAGATAAAGCAGTGGCAGACTGAAAGGAATGAGTAAAAGCTTCATGTTTTCACAATAGATTAGACGATTATGGAGATTTTGCAGAGATATGTGTGTCAATTTTACACTACCACAGTAAGCAACTTGTTGGATTAGTTCATATTTGTGTAGGGAAACAGTTAGCTTAGCTCTCCAACTTAGCCAGCTTTGTTAAATAGCTCTGCGAGTTGTATGCCTACAGCTTAGGTGTCAAACTCCAGTCTTTGAGGGCAGTTGTCCTGCATGTTTTAGAAGTTTCCCTGCTTTAAGACACCTGATTAGCGCCAGCATGCCATTATCAGGCGTTGGCAGTGCCTTTGAACTGATCCACTTAATCAGAATCAGCTGTATTGAAGGAGGGAGGTCTCAAAAACCTGTAGGACAGCGGCCCTTGAGGACTGGAGTTGGACAGAGTTAGGGTTAGGGTTAGGGCAGTCCGGCGCAGAGCTTAAAAGGTTTTGCAGGGGTCCATTTATTCAGTATCAGATGTTTACAAAAGGGGAAATGCAAGACAGGAGTTTGAAACCCTAAAGTATTTGTTCTAAAGTGCCGAGCCATTGCTGATGCTCTTTTCTCTGATACTCAATGTGTTTACATTCCATCCATGCATCCATTTTCTGTACCACTTATTCCCAACGCTGTTGCGTGGGGGGGGCTGGAGCCAATCCCAGTATGCAACAGGCGAGAGACAGGGTACACCCTGGAAGTTGCAGGGCCAAATAGAAACACACACTCGCAAACAACCACGCACGCTCAGATTCACTCCTAAGGACAATTTGGGGTGTCCAGTCAACCTTACATGCAGGTTTTTGGATGCTGGGAGGAAGCTGGAGTACCCAGAGAGAACCTACGCAGACACAGGAAGAACAGGCAAACTCCCCACAGAAAAAGTGCTGCGCCGCCCCTTGTGTTTAAATCTTTTTATAGATTACTATATACATTTTTTTACATGAATTAAACAAAACATAAATATTCTTTCCTATATTTTTCAACAGTTTTCAACACGCACAATCCCTCCAAAGCCAACAGATTTTAATGTCACTACAGAATAATGACTTTTGGCTGAGAACACACAGACTGGCCTTTTTTACTCTTATGAGGGACAGTATGGAAATGTGGTGATAATGAGTGAGCAGTAACACACATTCTCAGGGAGAATGGGGGGAAGAGAGTCTGGTTTTCACATGCCCCATTTCTCAGAGCAAACTTTATTGTTCATCAGGTGGAGGCGGAAGCCGTCAACCGTGCCGTGACTGTAGCCAATCAGACAAACTGCCCCCTGTACGTCACCAAGGTGATGAGCAAGAGTGCTGCGGATGTCATTGCTCAAGCCAGGAAGAAGGGTGAGGCGCTCAAATCAAATAATGTCTAATTTCATAGCGATGCTATTAGCATGTCCGGCTAGACTCAAAATACCAATTAAACCTATTCTTGTAAATGATTTGACTGGAAATAGTCTGTGACACAGAAAATCAGCGCAAGCAAGGGTACTCTCAGTCCACTTTCTGAAGTAATTTAGGCTGTAGTTCGTAGCAACGCTGCCCTGTGTTTTAATCGCGCTGGATTTCCAGGTACTGTGGTCTATGGAGAGCCTATCACGGCTAGCCTGGGAACTGATGGGTCACACTACTGGAGCAAGAACTGGGCCAAGGCAGCGGCCTACGTCACCTCCCCTCCCCTGAGCCCCGACCCCACCACCCCGGACTATCTCAACTCCCTGTTGTCCTGGTAGGATAGCGATCCCGTCACGCAGAGCGACGGTACAACCGGGAAATGAAGCGTAAGCAGGACCCCTCAACGCGACGTTTTCTTTCTGTCTTTTTACAAAGTGGTGACCTGCAGTTGACAGGGAGTGCTCACTGTCCCTTTAACACCGCTCAGCGTGCAGTGGGAAAAGATGACTTCAGCTTGATTCCTGAAGGTGTCAATGGCACCGAGGAGAGAATGTCCATCATTTGGGACAAGTGTGTGGTAGGTCTTTGCACTTTATTCGGACCTATTAATTTCTGTGTTATATATTTAGGTATATAGCTTGTCTAATGAAGATTTAATTGAGCTTTTAAAATGTTTGAGCAAATATAAGTTATGAAGAATTACAGAATGAATGAGAACATATGAAAGCAGAACAGAAACAAAAGGAGGGGCTATTAAATCCAAATACACAGATGTGACTAGGTGTGATAAGAAGAGGAAAAAGGGTTAAGTGAAAGGAGGAAAGTGTGCCCTTTTCACTCTCAGCTCTTGTTCATCTCAGGTGACGGGGAAAATGGACGAAAACCACTTTGTGGCTGTGACCAGCACCAACGCCGCCAAGATCTTTAACCTGTATCCCCGCAAGGGCCGCATCGCCGTGGGCTCCGACGCCGATCTGGTGCTCTGGGACCCGGACGTCACGAAGATCATCTCTGCCAAGAGCCACAACTCGGTATGATCTCCGTTGCCCACTGTTGATACAGCGAAGCCCCAAAAAATGTAAACGGACGGGGGGCCGAGGAGTTTTGCGTTGCACACAAAGCATCTTGAAATTTCCACAAGTCGCAAATCATTCTACTATGCGACGGATGTAATCACTGATGATTCATTAATTAAATTTTTATGTTATTGCTGTCAGCTGGAGAGACGGAGACGTGTTTGTCCACTTCTTTGTTGTAAGGGATGACTTATGGCCGTCTGTTCATCTGCTGAACAGGGTGTGGGCCTCACACAGCGTCGAGGGAGTGATCTCATACATAAGATCTGCCAGAGAACTCAAACACATCACCATGTGATTGTTAGCAGGCCGATCTCTGCGCGTCCGTGTGTGTACATAAGAATGACAGAAAGAGGATCGCTGCATATGTGCTTCAGAGCTGTTTGCTCTAGCTGCTCTTGTTATTCGGTCTCTTTTTATTCCACTTCATCAGAGGATTCCGTTCCTTGGGAGAAATTGCTCATTTTGAGTGTATAAATGGATGTGTCATGGGATAGACCAGCCTAGTGGTGATCTCATTTTGGGCCAGATTGCCATGGCTTCAGTTTTAACTCCAGTGGCTTTTTCTTTTTGGAGTGAACAGTCACAAGTCTTCCAAACCACTGTATCCTTCCTTATTCTTTTGGCCCGAGAGCTAATGCCTGTCAGCTCGCCCCACTTCCCTCCCAACAACTTGCTCTCTTAATCAGTGTCAGGTTAAGAACAACACTTTGGATGCAGCGAGTAATCAATGATTTAAACTTCTCTCACAAATGTGCTTCGATGTAGAGATGTGGACCGTTTCATGTGATAGTATCACGTCTGAGCGAATCAACATCTCACAGGCAGTTTCTCAGATATGATATGGGTGTGGTTTATTTAATAAATCCATGAACTAAAATGGGAAGTGAGCACATGCTACTAGCCCTTACATCATCTGGAGGATCAGATGGAGAATGTGAGTCACTGTATCTCTGCTTTGAAGATGCTTTTGCCTGAATGAATCTATCGACCCTGAGGCATAAAACATTGGGGGAACACAGCTGTGGGCTGTCAGGTAAGCATTCTAACTGGTTTAGGATTGAAAATCAGAAGCTATAAGCAGACAAAGAATCCTTTAAAGATGTAATTTAAGCTGCACCATGCCATAGATTGGTCTTCAAAGTCAAGAGAGCCCCAAATCAGTTACGTAATTAGGTGAGTGATGTCAGGGTTTTTTTGCTTAAAAAATATGTTTTATTGCTGCTTTCTGTTCTCTTATGTACCCAAAGTACTTGTTAAACTGGTCAAAAATATAAACTTGCTACATTCTGACTATTGAGAGTAATGGGAAAGTATTAAAATCCCTAATTAAATGGCTGCAGTAATTTTAGGTGTTGACACTTAATTCACTTTATCAAGAGAAACACCTTTGGGGTACACAAATGAATTCCCTGTAAAGTTGTGATTCTTAGGGATGTATATGTGAGTGAAACTCCCTTTCTCTTAACAGAAAAAGTCCCTTGACAACCTCAATGTCTCAAATGGAAGCTCCAAATGTAACAGCAGCAAGTTGTTTACCATTATGAGATTGAAAGTATAATGGGCCGATGATGGTTCAGATAAAAAGAAACTAAGAATAGTCTGCCTATGTCTTGGGAGTAAGACCATAATAGGTAGGGCTAGTTACTTAAAACTGGAAGCAATTTAGGCAGCTGGTTTCAGTGCTTGTATTAATACAACCAATCAATACAACAATATTAGATTTACAAAGTAACATTTTCAAGATTCATAGGGTGAAAAAAATCATAGATGGTACTCTTGAGGATTTAACAATAGATTTTTGTACAATCACTAAGGAAACCTCTGATTTTTTTGGTGTAAGCTTGTAATAAATAAAAACTGAATAAAACAGCATGTACTCAGATGTTTTTCAGGACAAACCATGCCAAAAGCATGTCAGAATTGATTCACTAGTCAAGGTTCAAAACCAGAACTTTCTAACAGCATTACAATAAATAGAGGGGTATGTTCTTTCTGGGAAAAAAAAAAAGTTGGCAGCACCTATATGAACTCATAAACTCATTTTCTGGATGTTTTTGCATAAATTTTTTGGCAAAGAGACTAAAACCAGGGATGAGAGCATAGCACCCACTTGTAAAGTTAAGCGATTTAAGCATTATTTATGCATTACTGAGATAAATAAAAACTTATTTCACTTAAATAATGCTATTTAACTGAAGTAACTTACAGTTATACCGTTGTAATGAAGGGACATTTCTTGTACAAATTGAACATACTTAGTTCTGCCATAAGCTTTTGTGTTGGTCACAGGGTCTGGTCGGTGTGGAATGCATTTTATTCATGTGTCCTCCTTCCCATAGAAAATTGCAATGAATGCTGAAAGGTATCGCTTTTGTCCTCCTCACAGACTGTGGAGTACAACATCTTTGAGGGCACGGAGGTCCGTGGAGGGCCCCTTGTGGTCATCAGCCAAGGCAAGATTGTGTTGGAGGAGGGGAACCTTCATGCCACTGAGGGTTCTGGACGCTATGTGCCCCGTAAACCATTCCCTGACTATGTGTACAAGAGGATAAAAGCTCGCAGCAGGGTAAAGAATTCCTGTCTTCCTGCTGGGATGTGTCTGTCGTGTGTGTGGCTGATGTTGTAACACACGTGCAATAGTTGTGTGTATTTCATACATCCTTTTTCTCATGCTGCTGTTAAGAGGACACAACTCATGCTTGCAATTTGACATGAAAGTTTTCCACCACATCCAATGCTATCTAACCGTTGGGTTGAAAACCAAAAGCACCATGTAGCTTGAAGCTTGTCGGGCTATTATTGTGGTGAAAGCTGTCTGTTGTTTCCCACAATTCAGCTGGCCGAACTGAGGGGTGTACCCAGGGGACTGTATGACGGTCCAGTCTGTGAGGTGTCGGTCACTCCTAAAACGATGACCCCCGCCTCTTCTGCTAAGACGTCACCCGCCAAGCAGCCCAACCAACCCGTCCGTAACCTGCACCAATCCGGGTTCAGCCTATCTGGTCAGTCTTATACCCGTAACTCTATTACCACTACTGTTGTTTTTCTTTCTTAAGGTCCAGTCAAATGAGTGAATCAAAGACTGTTTAGGGGGCTACACAATTTTAGAGCAGTTCATAATTTTATAAAAACAATTGCGCTGTCAGACTAGATTCTGTATTACTGGCAACATTTAAAATTCTAATAGTTTAACACTTTGAAATTCTACTGATGACATTTCAAAAGAAGATACTATATGTATCTGGCAGTTCTTATGTATTTATATAAAACATAGGACAGTACAATTAAAAACATATGAAGTGTGTGATTAAATTAATTAAATGACAGTTTAGAGAGGCAAATTAGAAATAATAAGAAATTAGATGACCCAACATATTCAGATGATAATCTATGTATCCAACTAGTCCACAGTGAAAATGGACATAACACGGATGTGACACAGAGACAGGAAATTGAGATAAAGTTCAGTGGTCCTGTGGAAATCTTTTTGAATCCTCCCTTTACTCTTATTCTTTCTTCATTTTATTCAGACGTTAAGCAACAAATACTATATTACTACTATAATACTATTTATATATAAATAATTTTCAGAATGAAAATTTTAACTACCTGGTTTGTCAAAAATGCAGGTGCTCAAGTAGATGACAATATTCCTCGCCGGAATACCCAGCGCATCGTGGCACCTCCAGGCGGCAGGGCTAACATCACCAGCCTGGGTTAGAGCTCCGTCCCCTGCTGAAGAGGAGGAAAAATACAGATCTGTGGAAGGATGGCCTTCAGGAGCTCAGCAAGTCAAAAAGCAACGTTACTACTACACCTGAAGCCAAATCCTACCCAGCACCTGAGCGGGCCGTCCAACCTCGATCTGACGCCTCCTCCTCGATCTCCTTTCGTTTCCCCCACAAACCCACGCTCCTCATCCCCTAAACCTGATCCTAGTGGACACAGTAAGAAACAAGAAAAAAAAAATCTGCCTCACATGATAGGAAAAAGAGGAAAAATGTAACACTGCTTTTTTGAGCACTTTTGTTATTTTGTTGTATTTCTTTTTTATACTGTACTCGCTCCCTGCCATGTGTCCTTCTGAAACGTTGCTTTGCTGTGTTACTTTCATTAAGGTCAGCTGAAAACGAAACCGAATTAACACAGTCGAGGAAAGAGCGTACACTTCATTGTAATTCCATTCATTCTTTTCATTTTCGGAAGAAGCTGAAATGGAGCATGGGTACAAAACCAGTATTGTTGTGTTTTCTTCTTCTTTCCTTTGTTAAATAAGCCAAACATGAGGTTACTTGTTTTTGAACAGTCTTACACTTTCTGCAGCCAACTCAAGAATTTCCAAGCTTTTGACTATCTGACTACATGTGATTTTGATTGATGGTGTCCTCTGAGGGCTGTCTTGAGATTTGGCCTAATTAAACACAGCACAGTCTATTATTATCACTTTTAACTGTCATTGCAGTGGCTCTCAAGTTTCCCACCTGTGGCTCTGCAAAGGTGTACAAGTTATGAGTCGGCTGGAATGTTATGGAGCTGAGGGGACTTTGGCACGTAATAAAAAAATCTAATCAAATAAAAGAAAGTTTCAGGTCTCCATTAAAGGAGAAGTATGTAGGATTTAGTGACACCTACTGGTGGAAAAGCAGATTGCAACCAATACTATAACTTTCCTCTAAATCGACTAGGCACATAAGAATCTGAGATCCTGGCAGCCAAAGAGCAAAAAAAAAATGATGAAACTCCCTTACCAGAACTAGGGTTTGTTGTTTTATTTCTTGGCTACCATGGAAACACAATGGTACTAAAATGGGGGACTCCCTGAGGATGGACCTGCTCCATCTGTAGACAAGTCATTCTTTTAAATAGCTATACACAGACCAAAACCTAATCCTAAACACTGTACTGAGCTTATGACGAAAGACCCCTCTAAATCCTACGCAATTAAACTTTAATTAGGAGTCATAGAGGTTAGAGAACGTTTTACTCACTTCGAATTTAGCCTTTCCTTGCCTTATTGTCTCTTAACTTAGAGAGTCAGCTTAGCAAAGAGAGAGTTTACAAGAGCGGGAAAGGTGCCATTGATGATGCAGATGCTCATTTTTCACTTCATTTGTGTTGTTATGAATCACTACAGTCGACGTTTCTTTCTTGACAGCTGCAGAAGCATCTGACAGCCGTCCAACCACCAACCAGTGCATTTACACACAGAATGTTTCTCTTCCTCCAAATGTATCTTTTGTACACATCAAAGTCCCTCTTTCCTTTCTACTCTTTATGTGCCTGAACCCACAGAAGTTGTACTAATAGTCTGATCTTCTAATACCTGTTTTTGTTATTCTTTATGAGGTGAGTGAAGGATGTATGATAAAAAAAAAAGATGTAAAATAGCCAGGATTAACCGATTCAAAGGTGCCAGACTTTGCGCTTTCGTAGGGCCTATTGTGCCAATAGAGCCCCTGTAAAGACGAAAAATGCTCGTTATCTTGAAATGTTCTAATGTTTTAGAGTTTTTACCTTGTTGTCAAACTGCTTTTTAGTGTTATTCTGTAACTAGGTGCCTATGGGCCGAGCACTATTGATTTTATGCTTGAAAGTAGACATGAGCTATTGTACTTCTGACCAGTGTGCGGTGTTGATGTGTGAGGGATGGGACACGCGCAGGAAGCTCCTGTGCAACACCACTAATGGTTTCCGATGTTACGTCACGCTGGGGCAATCTGTTCAAATGCTATCTTTAACAATCTGGTTTTTAATAAGCCATTATTAAACAGAATTTTCCATGCTCCTAATGAAATCGAAACAGTCCTGACCATATTTCTGCATCCTATATTTCATTTCCCAGTGAGTCAACAGAGAACAAATAAACTCAAACGGTAGCCAGTTCTTTCATTTTGACCGTGACTTAATGAACACCACGGCTTTCTGTTTTTTCTTTCCTGCTGCAGTCTGTAGAAGGCCATCGCTTTTCTAACTGATGCAAAATCCAAGGAGGTGGTCAATGACGGCTCGCTAAAGAAATGAGGAATCAGATTTTCGCCACAGAACACACGACAAACACCTTTTCTCTGTTAAATTTCCTGTTTGTACAAATAGAGTTTTTATTTATCATCCGAGCGAACATCAGTTTGCCTCTTTTCACCACAACAAACAGCAAAAAAAAAAATCCATTTGGTGGCCGTCTGGGCCTGGTCGAGGTTAATGTCCAGCACGGCTGACACAGTTTGGCAGCCACCATTCCTTTCGCTCGCCCCCTTCCTTTCTGTAACTCCCTCCCCCTGCTCACTTCTTTGGTTGTTTTAAGGCTGTTGCCCCTGGCAATAGACCCCTTCCGCACACTGCTTCTTTGTTTGTCATGGCAACGCTTTGTCAAACCGGAGGGGTGACCCGGTGCACACACACACACACACATTTTTTCAATTATTCTGTTGCCGTGCGACAAACGCGTCTGCATAGTCCTGCGCTGAAGTTGAGTGGAATCCAGACTAGGCCGCATCCACACCAAGTCTGTTTTTAAAAAATCAGGGTGCCAAACCGTAAAAAAAACATCCGTTGCTGCGATGCACGGCCCACAACTAAAGAATGAACCGAGATACTAAAGAAAAAGAAACATTTATCAGCGCTGGCTCTTTGCTGTGTCCCATGCCTCCTCTGTCTACACACACATACACACACACATACACACACACACACACTTATGCTCCTTTGATGCTCTGTCAGCTTGGATGCTTTTTCTATGCCATATTATGCTAATGATATACGAGTGACATGTATGTACACAACGTGCTGAAGTTGAGAGGGACTTCCTTCTGTTCTGAGGTTGTTGATGCTGTTGAACACCGTCTTTCCCCTAAAGCCCCTTATAGTCACACCCCCCCCTACCCCTCCCCATGTGAGCTTTCCCCCACCTTTGTGAAAGTGAAACTGTGTGATGGTGTTTGTCTTGGTGGCTGTGGGGTTTCTGGGATGCTTGCTTGTTATGGGAAAAGTGACAAAACCCTTGGATAGTGACGTTAAAAAAAACAAAAACAAGAAAACGAAAGAAGCAACAAGGATTTCAATTAATAAAAAAAAAAAAGGGAAAAAATGTACCAATCTCTTTCTCTTTTGTTTGATGTCTGTGTGATTTCGGGGAGAAATGCACGTTTGCAAGGCTAACATTGAACTGCTTCTAGCTTACTTACACACCAAGCACTTTAGTTTGTTACTTTTAGTAACAGCAATGACAACAGTATCAGCTCAATCACTGCAGTCTGGCTTTATATAGTTTGCAGACTTTGGCCTGTGTATTCGTTTGGCCATCTAAAGAGGAAAGTGTTAACACCTGTCCTGAAAAAGTGCACTCAGAGACATGGTCAAACACACAGGGAGCATTTGCAGCTGCACAGTTTGCAGCGTAACCACAACCGGGCCTTATTTGGTGAGCTTGGCAGCCACTGTACGGGCTGCTGCTGCTGGTAGTTGTGGGCACCGGTGCCTTTGTTGAAATTAATTATGGCACAGCCCTTTTTCAAGCGGCTTGTTGTGTGACCGTGGCAACAACAGAAACCACAGCATGGAAACGGCTCAGGGGCTGAGGCCCCCTGGTATCAAACACATCAACATAGACCAGCATCCATGCATTATTCAACCTTTCTCATATATATCACTTCAGTTACAAAAATAATCTTCAGTGATATCAAAATGTCTTTTTCTGTTTTATTCAGACAGAAAGCACAAATTGAGTTAAATGACCTGAAAGTGCCTGCGTAATAGACTGTTCTAATGATCTATGCCATGATAAAATGGAGCTCCAATTCTTCCTTAATGCTCTTCTTTTAGCTTAGGCTTGGCCTTGCAAACTTTAATGAGGGAAGCGTCACGAGGGGTGGGTCTTAGGGAGGACTCAGGTGCGGAGAGGGTTGGTTCCAGGGGTTTTATTTCAACAAAAACACACTCAAAAGGAGTGGATGGCAGACATGGTTCAAAACAAGGCTGTGAGAAAACTATGGACAAAGTAGCATAGCAAGATTAACAAAACTGTGGCAAAGTATCAAAGTAAGAGTAAACAAGGCTATGGCAAAAACAATACAGTTAACAAGACTGTGGGCAAAGTAAGGCTATGACAAAAACATGGCTATGGAACAAAAACAAGACTATGGCATGGTGCAAAAAGCAAAACCTTACGTGGCGAGGGGTGACGAAGAAATGACGAAAACACACTGGCACAGGACATGGGAAACGAGGACTATTTAAACACATGAGGGAGGGGAACCCCAGGTGTACACAATAGGTAATCAAGACATGACGAGACACCAGACATTCCCCCAGACGTGACAGGAAGGAAGTAACTCCATCCTACATAACCTTGCAGTTGCAACTTTAATGGTAAGCATCAATTACTCTCAACCATTCCTACAAACTGTTGATCTTATCAATTTATATGAGGAAGGCAGGAAATCGTATTTGATACAAAATTTTACTAATGAACTTAGCCAATAGTAATTCTATATCAACTCTTCTATCATATGAGACAATTTTCTTGTAACAAATAGACAGAATTCCAACAGGAAAGCTTTCATAAGTACCATTTTTTTTGGGAGAATATGCACCGAACACCTGTAGTTTGACTTTTTCAAAGTCCTTAAAAGTTGTTCTTACTACTTTTCCTTTCTAATTTGTTTCATAGTTTTTTTGTTTTTATTGTTACTGCTGCTGTGACTGCCTTATGCCTCTGGATTTGAACTCTGACCTCTGTATAGTAGGTTTTGGTTCACTGTTCTGGAAATTGCGCATTGGAAGTTCAGCGTTCTGGCGTGCAAGAATTAGCTTTTCTTTTTTGGGGGGGGAATGTTATCGATTTCAGAGGCTGGTACCACTGGGTGTCTGGATGACTCTTTTCTTGCCCAAACAAATTCACCTTAAATCAAGCTTTGCGTTTAGGTGACCTCTCTTTAAAACTTGATCGTTATTCAAACTTCGTGAATTCCAGAAGTTGCGCACATTTCTAACCATGTTGTCTCCAACAGCCCCAGGGTGACCACCTGAGAGCTCTCAGTGTGTCTGCTCTTACATGTGCATGGTAGATGACCTGGAAAGGCTGAACCACCTGCTAGTGGGAATACTGTAGCATTTTACCCGCTAAAAAAAGTCTAAAGAATGTCATAACTTTACATAGGATCAACCAAATGTAGGAAATACATGCTGATTACTTCTCCATTGAGGGAGAACATTGTGTACAGTAATTACTCTAAAGAAATTTTGACATCCTGACTGTGGCCACACAGTGAGTACTGGTATGAATGTACAATACTGTCGGTTTAATTTTTTTTACACTAGATGGCAGTAGTATCATGCTGTTCCCACCATCGCTCCCAGATCAGTCGGCCACTCGACATTGTGGGATTTCTGTGTTTCTTTCTGATAATGGAATGGGAAATCCTGCTGCTCTGGTTAATCTTTCATGTTGCTGCACCAGATTTATTATAATAAATTCACCTTTGACTGGGGCGAAATCAAAAGATGGTGCTATTCACCCAACAGTCTATAGCATAAACCTGCCGAGCCTGTTTTCAAGAGCATTAAGGTGAATCCATAATTTCCTGAAGCACAGAAGTGCTCTGACTTCAGAGGGGCTTTCATGTTTTCTCTTCAGAGACGTGGGGAAAATAACATATTGGGGGAGATGGCAAGGAAAAAAAGTGCCAAAAATGAGTGAACCCAGGAGAGGCTGAAATGTTCCATGAGCTTTTCCTCTTCAAGTAATCATTTTTTGCTTTTTTTTAAAGTGTTTTTTTTCTGTTTTTTTTTTACACAGGAAAACTCATGTTCTTCTGAATTTTTAAAGCTATAGATCAGCCTTATTAACCACCAATGAGGCATCAATTACAGTAATGATAAGTGTATTTGTTGAAAAGAAAAAAATATCAAGAAAACAACTACTTATCCAGACTTCTTGCTGATTTTACAACCAGTCCACTTATCCTTTTTTTAAAAACACAATTCGAAAGAAAGAACTGGAACAGAGTGCTGTGTTCATCATATCAACCTGTTTATATTGTCAATACAGCTGCACTTTTATTGCACATGAGTAGGAAGCTATAACATCTACTCTTTTAACCATGGCTCACACACACTGATTCAATCTAGATTTCACTACTTGCTATGTTTATACATTAGTAGGCACATAGTTTTATGTAACTTTATTACAAATCAGGTACACTTGCAGACATAGACAAAGTCTCAGTCTATCCTGTGCTGCCACTTTTTGTAATATGGAAGATAAATTCACTCAGGAAGTCTCAAAGGGACTATTTTGGGTTCCAACGCCGCATCAACCCTGGCTCTGAACAAATGAGTAATAAAAAAGGGAGCATATCAGGTGTACCTGTATCTGTATTTCTTCACCATCTGGCACCGTGCCCGCAGACACTTCTCAACTGGTGAAGCTGCTCATGGTTTTGACAGTTGTTATTGCATCCCTGCATTGGTGTTTTAGTTATTTTGGTTAATTTAAAACTCTGTTCAGGTGAGCTTAAACTAATGCAAAGCCATAAAACTCAGCGTTGTACACTTATCAGAATGATAAGCATGAATATAAAGATGTCAGTCAGTCTGCAGACAGACTAAAGCGGCACCAGCTCGTAAAATAAGTGGAAACACCTGTGCAGATGCACTCTGGTGTGCTTTCCATCTGGCTCCCTTTTGGCATGATATCAGTGTGGGCTCACGAATTAGCCGCGCCAGCAGTTATCCGTGGTCCCATGACACCTTGCGTAAATTACAGACGTTCCAGTTGGTCCATCCAAAAACACGGCACATTTGAACCAAATATTCTTAAGCCGCGAGAAAAAGTATAACAAACACGTTTTATCCTCAGTTTCAGACACGACTTGGATAGACTGACATGTCATTTGGAAAATTTAAGGTTTGTTTTTCAGTCTTAGAGCATAGTACAATGTATACCGTCCAAAAGAGCTCTTCTTCTCTTAAACTTCAAAATAACAAATTCATTTATTATTCATTCCCCTCCTTTGATAAGAATACAGTGGGGGAATTAAGTATTTGACCCCTTGCTGATTTTGCAGCTTTGCCCACTTATAAAGAATGCTTATTTTTCCTCATCAGATGGTTATCAATTTTTATAGATTCATATGGTGTGATTTTCTGGAATTTTCTTTGGGATTCTGTCTTTCACTGTTAGAATGTACATATGATTAAAGTTATAGATTGTTGCATTCTTTGTAAGTGGGAAAACCTGCAAAATCAGCACTGTATAGAAAGATCTTCTATTGGTTCAAACTCACAGCATCGCTTTACAGCATGAGGGTTCTGGATTCAAGTTCCCGGGGGAACCGGGACCTTTCTGTGTGGAGTTTGCCTGTTCTCCCTGTGTCTGCGTGAGTTCTCTCTGGGTTCTCTAGCTTCCTCCCACCGTCCAAAAACCTGCATGTAAAAACCTAACAAAAGCACTCCAAATTTCCCTCAGGAGTGAGTGTGAGCGTGTGTGGTCTTTGGGTTAGGGTTAGGGTTAGGGTTTGCCCATGGACTACTGGGTTAGGCTCCAGTCCCCCAGCGACCCCATTTGGGAATAAGCGGTTACGAAAATGGATGGATGATTTTCTTCAAAGTAGAACATTGGACTTAAGGCTAACTGGGACTTTCGGACACTGGCTGACCTGGACACCTGACCTATGCCATGTCTATAAACATACGTTTCCATACAGCTGAGAATCATTCTGTGGGCTCATCGCTCTAATTTGATCTCACATCCACTTAGATTGGCATCTATCAATTCTGGCTGGTCACTCTGGATTATCAATGCAGAAAACATCAGCCAGAACAGCTTAAGAAGAAAGAACGTTAAATTGCAGCTACATTCTCTTTTATTTTGTCACGTTTCAGTTTTCTTTGCTCCTTAATCCATGAAAAACAAAATGTTAAAATAAGATATATGAAAAAAAGCATCATTGGGAACAGTCACAGGTGCGATTTGACATTTCTATTGTCACAACTCATCATTGTAATATTTACTGAGACAGTAAATCATTCAAGTAAACAACACAGATGTGACAGTTTGGCAAATTAGTAAGAGCAGCA